AACTCCGTTATTTTGGACTTATTTGAAAAACGATAAAGAGAAAATTTGTTTCTTTTATCGAGATCTACCACCCCTTAAAATACTTGCACTTATTTCTGGGACACCCTGTTTATAACAACACGTGATGCGTATACGCAAAGTTGCGAACGATGTCAAGAATAGGTATCCAGATTGGCGTCGACTACCGGTAAGCGGCAAACCTGCCTGCACTGTGTTCGCACACTAATGGCCGTTTGCACCAATTTGTATTTAAACAGCGTTTAAGTAATCACTGATTGTATTTTAATCAATGATTATTTTTGTTACATTTGCACCATGCACAATGAAAGCTTGTTTAGTTAATCAGCGAATATTCTTGGCAACAACGTCAATCTTTGATAGGTAGCGAACTTCATATTTATACATATATTTATATTTGTACCTTTTCCATGGTTTCAAACATTGTTTATCCGTTTTTTATGTTAAATGTCAGGTAGTTTTTTCCTAGTTTTCAAATTATAAATTCTGTTTTAAAGGGGAAATGATTTTGTAACACTCTTTGTATTCTTTTAAATTGACATGGATTGCGATGAAATTAAAAAAGAAAAGAGGCCGTTGTGTTAGTTTTAGCCCAGACGAAAAAACTCCAATTGCCAATATACATATGTGATAGATATAAGGATATATTAGAAAACTGACCATGTGTCCGTAGAAAAAAAGTGAAGTGCTAAAATTTAGATCCGTCCATTTCGTCAAAATAGTTATAGTTATAGTCCTCAAATAAATTTTTCAAGGAAATCCATAATCGGTAATTTGGAGATAGAACGATAATCGATAATTTTGAGATATCCAAATCATCTTTCAAAATGTAATTTTCATCAAAATCCATCTTATATATATATTTTTTTAAATAACAACTAAGTATAAAAAAGTACTAAAAGCACAACCGCCGAAGAATAGGACAACATAACACAGTTTAGTTTAAACATCGATTAGATAAGTATAAACAACGTTTATGTAATTATAAATAATATATAATAATGTCCGTCAATAAAATTTTAACCCCAAAATCTTTGAATAAAATGGCCCAAATGATAATTACACCAAAGAATATGCAGTAATTTACGACATACCGTAATGACGTCAACAATCTCTTTCCTCTGTTTGCAAGTGATTGAGAGAGTTCGACAATATATGACGTGAGGTTGAACGATAGCTGAATATTCTATAACATTCTATTTTGACCTGTTACGAATTTTTTGCAGTCTCTATTAAGATATAGCCCAGTCAAATTAGAAAAATCGGTGGAAAAAATCCCAGTTTTGAAAATGGTTTTAAATGGTTTCTCTAGACTTGGGCAGATATGTGTCAAAGTCTAGAGAGGCAGTCCCCAAAGATAGACGATGAGCTCGAGGAGTCGAGAGGAGTTAAATGTCAATTTTTTCACTTTTTTTGCTTATATCTCGGAAACTATGAAAAATGATCTATAAATAAAAATAAAGCTAACAAAATTCTCTATAAAACTGGTTCAATACATTTTTTTCATAGATTTAAAGGGTTGACAAAATTAACACTATTTCTCATATTGTATTTTCGCATTTAAATCCAATAATTTTAACTGTATAATAGTATCAGTACTTTAATTATTAAAGTCTAAATTTAATCTTTCATATTAATAATGGTAATATTAAGGAGTCTTTATGTTATCCTTTCAAGTCTTCATTGCATCGTGACTTTTTGTCTTCCGTTGGAGAGCACTAGTGCACACAGGGCTTGATAATAACTGCAAGTTAAAGATTAATGCATGTCTGATTTTCGGTAAAAAAAAGTATACCACAGCATTTAGCGCAGCTGGAAATATTGTAGAAAGTATACAGAAATCAAGAATCAAGGTTTATGGTCCATGATTGCTCAGAGTTGAAAATTTCTATCCCCGCTTGCAGTAGATTTTTCTAATGTTAAAGTAGCATTTGAGAATTTGAGGCATTAGCATTTGAGGTCTGATTCCCTGAGGTTGTATATTGCAATCATATTCAACATGATTTCTTCCTCTAGGTACCAGTTAACGTAAGTATAATTATTTACGTATCTGCACTAACCAATTCATTTCAGAAATATAGTATCAGTCTTCCCTAGCAGAATTTCAAAGAGTCTTAAAAGCGCATATGAATGTGTGATTTCTGAATCTTCTCAACCTACAATAATTGAATACAATAATGTTATCCACATACATATAACATGAGTCCCCATACTTTAAAATCATCTATATTATACCACATTATCAGTTTTAGACAAGTAATTTGTATTCAATAAAAAAAGTGATTTTATTTTACTATTTATAATAATGCATGTATCGCTTACTTTTTTAATTTAGTAGGTCTTTCAAATTATTTTTTAATTTTATACAATATCGTATAATATATTCTGTAATTTAAATTACAAAAAAACTATGTTATTAAAAATAAGGTGCTTTAATTTTCATTTAAGACTTTTGAATTGAAGAATTTTATGAAGGTATTTCTTATTTCCGACACAAAAATTAATTCAGAAACATAATAATTCACTATTATTTTCTAAATGTATTATTATTTATTTTGTTTCTTTAATATATTATTTATATAATGTCGGTTTTGATTCTTTTAATTACACAAAAATATGAAGCAAAATAAATGAACAGAAAACATTATCCATGTTAACAAATAACTTCAAGAATTATGTGAACGCATCACGTCTAAAATTTATAAAATCACAGTAGGTATATACTAAAAGTTATACTTAATACTGAAAAAATCATGGATATCGTACTTCTTCAACGCTATTTGAACGGAAAACGTGCAATGAAAAGAAATGTTTGTACGGATTTGGAATATGCCAAATGGGCCAACGGGAACAAAAATGTATAGAGTAAATTTTATAGAGAATTTTGTTGGCTTTATTTTTATATATAGAGCGTTTTTCGGTAGATGTCATAGTTTCCGAGATATAAGCAATAAGAAAGTGAAAAAATTGACATTTAACTCCTCCCCACTCCTCAAGCTCATCGTCTATCTTCGGGGACTTTTGACACATATCAGTCTAAGTCTAGATGAATCGTTTAAAATAGTAGTGGGAACTATCGAATGAATACTATCGAAACATTCGATAGTTGCAATTCATTCGAATAATTCGATAGTAAGAAAACATTCGTTGAAAACTATTCGAATAAAAATTATCGAATAGATCCGTCATCTGCCTTGAAATATTGTATTCTAGTAATTCGGCAGCAAAAACCATTCATTTATAAAATTCATTCATTTATGAAATTCATTTATTCGTCAGGATCGATTATAATAAAATATTAACTGAATTTTAGTTGTCGCCCGGCGACGTAGGTTTCTTTCCGAGAAACCCGACGGTGGCAATGCTATGAAAGAAGCCGGCATCTTTGATTTTTTGCGGAGTCAGATATAGATAAGGACACATTATTTTTTTTATTGAGGTGCTAGTATTTACACAGAAAATACATTATGAAGGGCGCTGTTGCCATATTTTGGTATTAGTTGATATTAGCAAAGAATATTATTGTTTGGCTTTAGTTAGTTAGGGATAGTATGTCTATATATTCTGCATTTTTTATATTAATATTCTGTTGTTACACTGCAATAATACTTGTTATTTTGGATGTAAGAAAATGATTTTTAATGTTTTTAAGCAAAGACTGGTTTAATAAATAATAATAACAGCAATAATTTGTTATACCTATTAACAACAAAATTTAAAATGATTTAATATAAATATTTTTTTTAGTAGTAGCAAAATATAAACAACAAATTAGATGTCAAAATTATTTATATTAGATCCTATTTAAAAATAATATAGTGTCTAAATTTTTTGGCAACGTTGGTTTATTAAATAATAATAATTACAGAACTAATTTGTTATATTAACAACAAATTTTAAAATAATGAAATATAAACATTTATGAATTTTCTAAGCATGCAGTGTAATGGAACGAAAATATAAATAAAAAATTAGAAATCAAAATTATTTATATTAGGTGCTTTATATTACTATTTAAAAATTATATTTACTTTTACTGGCATTTACTTTAAAAAATAAATGAAATATTTCTTCGCAAAAAACTACATGTAAGAGAATTAGCATAAACAAAATACAAACATCGTTAATTTTTTTTAAATTGACACGTGTAAAACTTTCATTTTAATTTTCTCACCCCATAGTTTTAGTTCGATAACCATTTACTTAACCACATTACTTAAATATGATTATTAAGTTCAACTAATTCATATTATTAAAACATCTAAAATACAAATATGTATTTTTAAAATTAATTCAAAGTTCATATCATCTCTCTTAAAAATTGCTACTTCTCAAAATTTCCCATTAAAAAATAGACCATATACCATATAAAATTAAATAATTGAAAGATCGGACTACGGAAAACCATACAAAGTTTCGGAAAAATTTTGACCACCTGCACATGCACACAATCGTCAATAAATAAAATTAAAAAATAACTACTATTTTAGTATTTTAACTATTTTAATAAACGCAAAAATAGCACAGTATTTATACGGCGAAGTTATAAAAATTTGGAAGAACTAATAATGCACTAACGCATACAAAAATCAAACGAATACTAAATATAATTTTTCATTTATCAAAAGCATTCGATAGTCGTGGCGCAACGATAACCATTTGGTCGCACGGCGAGGTTGTCACATATGCTTTAGTATACAAATGAATGAATGATTTTATTCGAATAAAACCATTCGATAGTTGAAATCATTCATTCATTAACCATTCGATAGTCTAATTCATTCGATAGTTCCCATCGCTAGTTTAAAACCATTTTCAAAACTGTGGGAATTTTTTCAACCGATGGGCCTTTTTTTAACTAATTTGACTGGGGGGTAATAGGAATATTCTATTTGGAATTAGAATATCAGAAATTCTCTATTTTTAATCAATCCGCATAATAGAATCTGAATTAACTCCGGAACCGAACGAATTAAACCTACCTTTCCGCTCTTCTTGTCCATGGCCATCACGGACATCCCGTCCTGCATTGTCTTGAGGTCGTGCGCTTCCAATAGAGGACACGGCTTGCCGTGGACGCACAGTCCCACCGAGGCATTGAGGGGCTCGTCGGGGAAGTTCACCCGCAGGTGGTCGATCACAGATTCGTAGAGGGATTCCGGTACTATGCCGTATTCGAGCATGGTGGATAGTAAAGGATTTGTAGCGCTGAAAAGAAAATAAAGAAAATGCGTCTCATAAAGTAGTAAATTATGAAACTAATAATAAATACACTTATGGAATTAGGATATAATCCTAACTGCCAATAGTCCTGAAGAACTACAAGCACAAATTAATCAACTATAACAGCCAGCATTAAAGTGGGCCTTCAAAATGAGTTTAGCAAAAACTAAAGTAATGTATAACAAACTAAGAGGAAAGAAAAAATACTTTTTAATAAATAACAATAATAGAAATAGTAGAAAAATATACCGGGTGCGTCTCAAAAGTGGCTCACCCCTATAACTTTTTTATTTTTTCAGTTAAAAAAACCAGATTTGGTATGTTAGTATATGCCATAAATTAGGATTAATTGACGTATTCAATTGTTTTCGACCACTTCCTCTTTCACCGGAAATGACTACAACTTTTGATTATTAAATGGTACCTTCGGTATTTTTTTACTTTATTCGATAGAAAATAACACTGTGAATGGAATGACATATCATATGTCAACTTTTGACATTTTCGCATATGGTTTATTTGAAATTATAACTTGCGGTTCGTAACGAAAATTTGACTCGAAATACCAAGTGTGTGGTATCAAATTATTCGTAAAAAAATGCTTTTTCCAAATATGCTAATGAGCCACACTCGATCTTTTTGAAAAAATTGAGATATGATTAAATACGATTTAACCATTTTCTAACTGGCCAGGACAAGACACTACAAACATTAAACGATCTAATCTATTTTTCCAAGGCTCCTTGATTAACAATTAGTGTTTTTAACATAGCCATAGCACTCTGGATTGATATTTAAAATACGATTTTTTATTAAGCGAGAATGTCAAAATTTGACATATGATATGTCATTCTATTCAGAATGTCATTTTCTATCGAATAAAGTAAAAAAATACCGTTGCCATTTAAAAATCAAAAGTTGTAATCATTTCCGGTGAAACAGAAAGTGACTACAACTTAGTAGTAATTTATGTCATATATTAACATACCCATACCAAATCTCTTTTTTTTATCTGAAAAAATAAAAATGTTATAGCGGTTTATTCCACTAATTTTGATGTTCTGAATGAAGCTTAAGTGTATAAAAATTAGGGGTTCTGTTAGAGGTTTCTCGCATCGAGAAATTTGTCTTTATTCGGGAAGAGAAAAACAACGCCTCGAAAATTAAACGCTAGTTCGATCCAAGTTTCCGACATTGCAAATAACAATAATGAAAAGGACTTCTAACTCAATAATGAATTAATGAAGTTCAACTACAAACCGCTATTCAGAGAGCTGGAACTACTGACAAAACCAGTCACACCAAAATAACTAAAAAAAAGGAATTAAACAAGTTAGGATTTTTTTAAATTTTAAAACAAAAAATCTTCAATATTTGGCAACATAGAGAGTAGATTAAAGTTACAAGAAAGAAAACGCAGGAAAGCAAAAAATCTATTTTTTTAAATTTTCAAAGTATAAATATCTCGGTTAATTTGGACTTACTTGAAAAACGGTGAGGAGAAAATATGTTTCTTTAATCGAAATCTACCAGCCCCGAAAATATTTGGACTTATTTAAGACTCACCCTAAATAATTTAACAACAAAAAAATTAAACAATACTTTTTTCAAAGTAAAATATGTCGGTTATTTTGGACTTACTTGAAAAACGGTAAGGAGAAAATATGTTTCTTTTATCGAAATCTACCAGCCCTGAAAATATTTGCACTTATTTAAAACTCACCCTGGATGAGTATTAAAACTAAACAAGAGAAAAAAATTAATACAGTAATTTCATTGTTATATGGTTTTTAATCGATTATATTCCAATAATACATACTCGATTACCTTAGACATCCATAAACAATAATACTAATAGGTAACTCTATAATCTAAAAATACACTATTAAGTATTTTCAAATATTGAAATATTTTAACCCTTGCTCAGTTCTAATTAAAAATTAAGTAAACCGAAATCAGTTCCATACAAATCACATAAAAATTCAATCAAATTCTTAGTAATAAGTTAACAATATTCATCTTACCGACTACGACTTTCGACTCTGTACACCGGACCCAATACCCCACGAACTGATCCTTCCTTTCAGGCACTCTGGCAAAGTTGAACTGAGAGACTCTCGCTCTGGATCCTGTTGCCTGATTCTTCCTACTTTCTCTCGCTCTCCTGATGGTGCTAGTCCTATCCTTGTTCCCCGCGCTGTAGTAACGGCAACAGAGGGGTGTAGGGATGGAGACGTGCGCCGCTGGATAACCGGCAAATTAGGATAATAGTCTGGAAACACGAGCAGCTGGGAGGATGTGCGCTTGATCCGGCATCGAGACGGGGGATGTTTGATTGGATATGCCTCGGCAATCGTCCTTTTGTTCTTGTCGAGTAGGTTCAGTTTTTTTCGGATTGAGTTTTGAAGGACACATGTGATTTCATAATATACGCCGAGAGCTGTACAGGGTGTCTAATTTTTGTGTGTTTTATGGGGTTTCACATTTATGAGTAGAGATACAGAGTGCGATTTCCACATCAAATCAAACATCAAATTTGTTCTAGCCTTCTTATAGGGTGTTTCAAAAAACATGTGCCATCTCTCGTGGGGAGATTCCTCACGTAAAAATAAGATTTATTTATCATATCAACATAGGTCCAATTCTGCTTTGTTTCGTAGCTACAGGGTGTTAAAGTCTTAATATTTTTTCGATTTATTATAATTTTTGTCCAACTACTTTTAGCGTTTCGAATGAAATTTTGAGGATAAAAGATACTATAAATGCGACATATTTTAAAGCTAAAAAAGTGTCAACATATCCACCAGGGACGTGCATATGGGTTACCACTGGAATATTTTTCTAAAAAAAGCATGTGCGCCACTGACTTTTTTTTCTCTTGTTAGCAAAATAGTGTCAGCAGTATAATGCCGATTAAAAGTTGTCTCTTGATATTTTGTCGATTTCAGCCTCCTTGATGAGATAAACGCAATTTTATTAATTTGCCTTGATCCGAGTGTAATACAAGGCTCAGCAACCTTTAAAAAAATTTAATATAATTAACTTGCAAAACTTTTGAATACGTACTTGTTGATTCCTCATCAAAAATATGAAAAAAAGTTGCTATGAACATGGGTATGGAAATGCATAGTTTTTGAGTTACAGGATGTTTGTAATATTATCTTAAATACCTTTATTTTTTTATTTGAAATTGCTGTAGGTTGGACTAATAGTAATAATAACTAATAGTAATATTTAATAATAAATTAGGTAAAATGTGTAATTTATTAATTTCATTTTTTTTTTTAATTTTATTAATTATTGTGATTGATAAAATTGTGTTTATCTTATTGAAGCTGAATTCGACAAAATATCAAGAGATATCTTTTAATTGGCATTAAACGGCCTACATCTTTTTTATATCAAAAGAAAAAAAGTCAGTGGCGCACATGTTTTTTTTTGAAAAATATTCCAGTTACAACCCATATACACGCCCCTGATGAATATGTCGACACTTTTTTAGCATTAAAATATGTAGCACTTATAGTAACTTTTACCCTCAAAATTTCATTCGAATGACTAAAAGCACTTAGAAGGAAATTATAATAAATCGAAAGATTATTAAGATTTTAACACCCTGTAGCTACGAAACAAAGCAGAATCGGAGCTATGTTGATATGAAAAATAAATCTTATTTTTACGTGAGGAATCTCTCCACGAGAGATGACACATGTTTTTTGAAACACCCTGTATACACGTGAATTGCAAAAAGCGAGTTGTGAATATAGTTGTTATTGGTCGATTTCAAAAAAATACGGTGGCGGCAAAATTGACAGAAAAGTGTTTTAATATTTTCCGAATTCCCATAATTTAAAATTTGCGGTGCGCGAATATTTATAAACTGATTTAATTTTTGCAAATATCCTATGCGAATTTTGAGATTTTACGTTATAATATGGTCATCTCTTGTCATTTATTTCTTGTTATGATTATTATTAGGTACTTAATTTTTTACAGTCTAATTATTTTTTTTTAATTTTTAGTACGAATTTCAATGTTGACTGCAAACTGGTAATATTGTTGAAAATTTTTCAAAACCATCGAAAATCGAAATCCTTTATAGTCATTCTATGGTAGTTTTTAATTTTTTTTCATCGTTAATTCTCTCTACTATTTATTACACTAAATTGTGTTCAATGTTTGCTCATTGCTGTTTTCACTTTTTAAATATTTCGCATGTTCCAATTGTTCTCTGTATTTTATTTTTGTTGTTTTTTTTTATTAGTAAATATACAAAAATAAGTAGCTTCAGCCATTACACAAACAAATATACTTATAGGTAAAGGCAAATAAAATAATATACAGGATATCCCATTAAAACAAAACATAAGTTTGGGTCATGCTTTAAGAATGACAGCTTCTAAAGAAAAACTAGTGACACCACTGAATTCTACACTGTGGATCTCAATTTTCATCTTCTAGATAAGTTATAGGATAACCAAGATACAATGAGTAAAAAACTACAGTAACAGTAACTATAAATTCGCTCTATATTTTAGGAACTAAGAGGTCTAGGACAAAAAAAGTAGCAGTAGCACAGTAAAGTAAAAACGCATTTTTGTACCTCTATTCGTAAGTGAAAACCCCTTTAAAATACACGAAAATGGGACACTTTGTACTGGAGCCAAACCAACAAGCTTTTTACAAACGAAAAAAAGGCACACAATTTACAGAAACATTAGAAGAAATCTTTCGTCAACTGGACTGGACCGACAAAGGATCGAAAATAGATGAAGAATATCTTAACCATCTAAGATTTGCTGATGATATAGTCTTAATTGACAATAGTCCTAAAGAACTAAAAGCACAAATTAATGAACTAAATACATCAAGCAATACACTGGCTCTTAAAATGAATTTAGCAAAAATTAAAATAATATATAACGAACTAGTGGAAAGAAAAGACATTCTAATAAATGACACAACACTGGAAATAGTAACAGAATATATATAATTGGGACAACTAATACACAGGTCGGGATCTCTACTACCAGAAATCAACAGAAGAATTAAGTTAACATAGAAGTTCTTATGGAAGAAACTTAATCATATTTAAATCTAGATTGCTACTCTGTCTAAAAAAAAAACACATTCAATTAATATGTACTACCAGGCATGTGAAACCTGGACACTTAAAACGGAGATCATAAGGAAACCGCAGGTCACTCAGTGGAATGAAATATGCTGAGAATAACCAAGAGAGACCGTAAAAGAATAGAGTGGATACGACAAAAGACCCAGGTAATAGATGTCATCCACAGAGTCAAGAGTCAAATCCCTCAAATGGCAATATGCTGGACACCTGGCAAGAAGAATGACTTACAGATGGACCACAAAAATTACAGCATGGTACCCACGATGAATTAAGAGATCTAGAAGATGACCCAACCTGAGACAGGACCATGATATTAGCAAATTAGCAGGGATAACTTGGGCCCGCATAGCCAAACAAAGACAATAGACAACAATAGGCGCAACTACAAAAATAGTATGTAAAGCGGCTCATACATTATCAAACAAATTGCGCAACAAAGCGATGCGCAATGTTGTGTTGCACAACTGCATCACCCATGCACTTGGTAAAATTTTGATCAAACTTTTTATTAAAAGTTGTGCATTGTTCGAGAAACAATCATGCCCTCAATTGCCATGCCCTCATGCCCTCAATTATTATCGTACATACTCTAGATGATGTTGATGATACCAAAAAACGAAAAAGGAAACAAAGAATTTGGATGAAAGAACTAAATATTGCACAACGAAGCGCAATACACACATACACTACACAACGCGTTGCGCAAACAGTCCTGTTGCACAAAAGAATTCAAACATTCTTGAAAGTTATCAAACAATTTCGCAACGCATCAAACAGGACCATACATGGACCTGTTTGATGCAACTCGTTTATTTTTTTCTCGTTTTTTTCTCAAAATTTGTTTGATAATGTATATCACTTTAGGCCGCTTAAGGGAGGCTACACCATAATTAGAAATGGTCGAACAAGCTGAAAATGATGGCCATGCCGACTACTTAATCTTTTTTGTTACTTAATACTATGTCTTTCGCAGATTTTTTGTATTGTTATACAGGGTGTTCATAGAGCGATTTCTCATAAGAAAATATGGAATTAAATTTCTATAAAACGTGGTTAACCAAATTTTACAACTCCTTAATGATAAAAAATTGCTTATGATAAGAAAATAATCTTCATGATGATTTTGGCGTGATCTTTGTGAACCGATTTATTCTTTAACGAAGAGTACTACTTTTAGTGTATAAAATAAAATGCAACAATATAAAAAATATTAAAACTTAATTTATTTTTAATAAAGTGGTATAAATAACTACAACAATCTGTTTAATTATTAATACTAAGACTAATTATTAATATCTTACAGCAGAAAAGGAACTTCACAATAATACTAGAGTCAGGTTACGTAGTATTACCATTTTCTGAAAAAGTTTGTCATGTTATTATTTATATTTTAATTTAACTATTGCGTCTAGGTTTGTTACCTTTTTTAATACTGGGTCTTCGTGGTTTTCTAAATATTAATCCTTCGATTGTGATGAGCGGAGATTCGAAAGACAGCGTCCATATTATTGAAAGGAACACTGTGATCACTGTATGGCCACACCATAAAAAGAACTAAAAAATATGGCTGTATTGAAAATACTTGTAAAGATCAAAAAAAAAGTTTATTTTAAATTGAACAACATTTTTCTCAAATATTTTCTAATTATCCAACGTAATGATTTGTACAACTGTATTTACAAAGGAAAGAAAATATTTGTTGAATTATATCAATGGTTGTTAGTACTGAGATTAGACGACAATATATTGTAGCATTTCTTATTTTCATTTGCTATTATTTAGGGTATAATTCAATCATAAAATAAACATAATTTTCTACTTTGGAGGGTGGATATAAAGGGTGTTTCAAAAAATAAGTGCCATCTTTCGTGAAGAGATTCTTCAAAAATAAGATTTATTTTTTATAATAACATAGTTCCGATTGTGCTGTGTTTCGTAGCTTTAGAGGGTCCTTTTTTAATTATTATAATTTTCTTCCAATGTTTTTAAATAAGTGCGACATATTTTAATGCGAAAGAAGTGTAGAGAAACTCACTAGGAACGTGCATATGGGCTATCATTGGAATAATTAAAAAAATATGTGCGCTACTGACTTTTTTCTTTTATTAGCAAAATTGTGAAGACCATTTAATTCCGATTAAAAGTTGTACATTGATATTTTGTCGATTTTGATCTCCTGGCTGAGATAAACAGAATTATGTTATTTGTCTTAATCCAAGTCTAATAGCAACCTTTCAAAAATTCTTCACTCAAAGCACTTGGAAGAAAAATATAATAAATCGAAAAAAAAAATAAAACTAATTCCCTGTAGCTACGAAACAAAGCAGAATCGGACCATATGTTGGTAAAAAATAATCTTATTTTTACGTGAGGAATCCCTCCACGAGAGATGGCACATGTTTTTTTCAAACATTCTGTAGAATAAAAGAATACAAAACGTTTTTTAGGCCCGTTTCACAAAGGACCGATGATCAGGACACACATGGTCCTAGCCATTTTTCTATACCGATCGGGACAGGCCAACTCTGCGGGTTGGATTTTAACGTGTAAGACAGTGATGTAGACAGCTTAATGGCAAATCAAATGTATTAAAAAGAGAAAAAAGTTGGGTGGATACATTTCTTCTGACCGGTATTGCCGGATTTTGCATCAAAATTTCAAACCGCATAAGTAGACGTTTCAAAAAAATGTTGCATCAGGGTTGGATCTGGATTTTCGACAATTAGTTACTCATTTTACTACAACTGTAATAGATTACATTTAGCTTAGATATATTATCTTCATTTCAGTAGTATACATGAAAGTTTTTAACATAATTTATTTTATTCTAATTTATTTAAGGCTAAGATAATAGATTTATACCGGATCGACAAGAGAAAGTCTTGGGCAGGGCCGCGTTAAGGTGATTTGGTACCCTAGGCACCATTTATTTTGCCGCCCCCTTTAACTAATAAAATTCAAGTAAATTTTGTTATTCAGTCCGCCGCCCTAGGCAGCTGCCTATCTTGCCTAAGGGTACGAACATAGTGGAGGCAGGTTTCTGCTTTCCGGCAACCAGCGCCGTCTCTGGGGACCTATTCTTGACCACTCGCATCTCGCATCTCCTAAAAAGCCATATAACAATACACAGATGCGTAACTTTGCGTATATGCCGTGTATTGTTATATGGCTTTTTCGGAGATGCGAGCAGGGTTCGAATGTAGTTAATTAAGAGGAAATTTACCTGATTAACTAACCTAACCTAACTATATTCAAACGCCGCTCCCGCCGCGCCAGCGCCGCACATAGGGGTATTTGGTCTATAAACCTGGCCAAAAGTGAAATATTTTTATTTTCATTTTTTATCTTAACTGAATACAAATCTATAAATACTAAATGTAAGCGCGTTTATTAGCTTTTTTTAAGTTGTAAGTTGACTATCAAATAAATAATATATTTCAGTTGTAAGTATGAATTATCTTGAGTGTATTCTGAATATTTCTAAGATTATAAAATAGTGGAATTGCTTGTAGTGCTTTTTTTGCAAATTGTTTATAATAACTGTCATGATGGATACAGAGCCAGCTGGCAAGTCCTGTTTTATGCCATATTTTTATTTTGAAACGTTTTCTTTTATTCTATTTCTTTATAATGTTTTATATTTAAAAAATCAGAGGCATTTTTATAAGGTGTAAGACTATTCGGCAATATTCCGCATGGAAATTAGTATCCGTTCAATGCTTAAAGTCTCCAGCTTTGGAATATGTACAAAAATCTTGCCAATATTTGCCACTGCCAAAAAAACATTGATTTAAATAGATTCTTAAAGGAAATAGTCTTTACCCTATAACACCCATCCTCGCTCAAATATCGTCTATAATATACAAATTACTTTCTTGTTCTAGCATCCTCATCCAATTGCTTGATTTTGCACAGAATGGCCCTATTTGATCGGTGGAAAGGGTTTCAGAGTAGAGGAAAAAATATTGTGTAGGAAAAACAAAATGGGGTTCCATATTAGCAACCTCTCCTCTAATTAATAATTAATATTACAAGCAAAAAAGCAAAAAAATCATAAAACATAATTTTGGCCAACTTTTAGTTCTTAATACCCTCTGTGTGCCGTCGGCGCGTGCAAAAGCAGAAATAAATAAATTTTCGTTCCGGTAAAAGCGAGAACGCCGATGAACGCTGGTTGACGGTGCCTGCCTGCCATCTGCCTGCTTTCACTGTGAACTAGCCGATTTGATAACACGCTTTAATTTTTCAAGGTTATAGCGCGAGGCGGCGCGGCGCGGCGCTACGATGTACCCACATACAGGGTGTCCCAGAAATAAGTGCAAGTATTTTAACTTAACTGGTAGTATAGTTCAACCCCAGAAACACGCCAATGAGGTTTTTTTCTAAATATTTTTTTTTTGAAAATTCGGAATTTTTTGAAAATTTTTTGAATTTTTTTTAGTTTTTATTTAAAGAAAATAATTTCTTGATAATATGGCAACGTAGGTAGTAGATTAAAGTTACAAGAAAGAAAATCCAGAAAAGATCCAGTGGTTCTCAAAATTTTAGCAAAAAATAATTTTTTTTGGAAATTTTCAAAGTAAAATAACTCCGTTATTTTGGACTTATTTGAAAAACGATAAAGAGAAAATATGTTTCTTTTATCGAGATCTACCAGCCTTTAAAATACTTGCACTTATTTCTGGGATACCCTGTTTATAACAATACACGTGATGCGTATACGCAAAATTGAGAACGATGTCAAGAATAGGTACCCAGATTGACGCCGAGTACCGGTAAGCGGCAAACCTGCTTGCACTGTGTTCGCACACTAAAGCTGGATTTATAAACTCGGAAGTTGGCGTTCAGTTGAGGTTCAGTTGCAGTTGGATGTTCGCGGCAGTTGAGGTTCAATATTTTTGCATTTATAAACTGTCAGTTTCGGTTGTAGGTTAGGTTTGGAATTGTGAAAATTTCAAACGTTTTTCTTTCGATTTAAAAATACTTCTGGTATTTGTCAAAGTTCAAACACAGTAATCCACGATTACGCAAAATATAAACATCACATTAACAGAAATAATGAAACAACAATAAGGGTAATTTTCCAATGCATCGGCGTACTGTGCTTCACGTGATCGACAGGCGCTTATTCATTGGCTGTCGCCGAACGTCGCCAGCGGTCGCCAACTGCCGACATAAACATTGACCATCTTTGAACTCCGCTGAACGTAAAACGAACTGCCAACTTTTCGACCAACTGACTTTATAAATGCGCGCGTTCATTTCATAGCGTTGAACATTTTGAACGGCAACTGAACCTCAACTGAACCTCAACTCCCGAGTTTATAAATCCAGCTTAATGGATAAAGCGGCACTGGTCTTGGGTCAGCATTTACCGAGGGAGGGGTAAATCGCTGGTGTATTTTGATGTACAAGATGTTGACATTACTTGGTATTAGTGGTATTAATCGTGGTATTAGTTGGCGTTTTTTCCATTATACGTTAGAACACGCGCGGACATCGGTCCAGCCCGTGGCTTGTGCTGATCATCGGTTGGTGTCCGAGCTATTTGATAAACAGAGATTTTCATATGCAAGCGTATCATCATTATCTGCTGAGAATTCTTTTTCTGATCTTCTTTTCGTTTAAGTGCTACGCAAGATGGCAAATAGTAAGGAAAAATATCGTTTTGATACTGAACAACTAATATCAACAATAGAACAATAACCATGTATCTAGGATACATCTTCTGAAGATTACAAAAACCGTGACATGAAAAACAAAGCTTGAAAAGAAGTGACTGAAATATTGATACAAAATATTGTGAATCTAGACTAGAGAAAACAACATTTTTATTAGACGAGAGAAACAAAAAATTTTTGCCTTTCCATTAGCCTTTTAACACACAAAGCGACAACAACGCGTTGACATATTGACGACTGATGATACGCGTAATATGAAAACAACAATTTCGACCGATGATCGGTGGCGACCGATTATCAGCACTGATCATCGGTCCTTTGTGAAACGGGCCTAATAGTTCTCGTATCTACAGGGTGGTCCGAACTGTATTCCGGAAACTTCTGAAGCATATTCTGCAGATACTTTATTATACAGATATTTTACTTTTCAGATAAAAATAAGTAAAAAAGTTTATATAAATGTATGTCCTAAAATGCTTAGTTTCAGAGATACTGGGTGTAAAAATTTCATTTTTATTTCGATTTTTTCTAAATAATTTCTGTAGTAACATCAATATTTGGATGAAAATTGGTGTCTGGGATATTTTTGACATGAGAAATTTGATTTTGATGTCAATATGACTCCTACTAGTAGAGGGCGCCACCTACATGTGTTTTGACTGTTTTGAAACGCAATAACTTTTTGTCCGTACCTGTATAAAACTACCGAGTGAAAAAATATACATCTCTGTGACTTTCTACGTAAAAAATATCTTTTTGTAAAAATCGCTACGACCAACCGTTCTCAAGATATTTAGAATGGAAATAGTCAATACATGTCATTATTGACGAAAAATAAACACGTTGAGTAGATAGTTATTTCACTGAAATAATAAATTTGAGAAATTTTTATTTTTTTAAATTAATCATAAATTTTTCTGCAAAAAATGACGATAAAACAGTTTCTGTTAAACTTTTAGCACAAAAACATTTCAAAGTTATGATTTCAGTCTAATAACTATTTTGTTAACATGTTTAATTTATGTCAATGATGACAGGTATTGATAATTTCGATTCCAAATATCTCGAAAACCATTACTCGTAGCGATTTTTACCAAGAAACCTTTTTCACGTGGAGAACGTCGTAAATGTATATTTTTTTACTCGGTAGTTTTATACAGGTACGGACGAAAAGTTATTACTCTTCAAACAGGTTAAAAAATATGTAGGTGGCGCCCTCTACTAGTAGGAGTCATATTGACATCAAAATCAAATTTCTCATGTCAAAAAACTCCTAGACACCAATTTTCATCCAAATATTGACATTACTTCAGAAATTATTTGGAAAAAATCGAAATAAAAATGAAACTTCTACACCCTGTATTTCCGAAACTAAGCATTTTAGAACATACGTTTATACGAACTTTTTTACTTATTTTTATCTGCAGAATATGCTGCCGAAGTTTCCGGAATACAGTTCGGACAAAGCCGTTTATCATCTGTATGCTAACATAAATTACTTACCAAATTGTAATGACTAAAATGTTCTTTCGTTCTTTTGTTTATCAACCAGAACAATATAACAGGAACGTGCATTAAGTACATGCAATAAGACAGTTTACTCAAAATTTGCATAAAACTGCTAGACAGCCATGAATTTATAAACCCTAAAAAGTAAAAACAATTATTGATAAAATTTTAGGAGATTTTTAGACTATTTAAATGATAGATATTGCTCATATATTAATGGAGCGCCTTTAATGCTTAACTTTTAAAATATTTTACTAAAAAATACACAAAACAGTAACAATGCACCGAATCACACTTTTTTTTAATAAGATCGACTCACGTTTTGATGGCCAATATTATATCATCGCTTTTTGGACACCCTCTATATTAGAGTTTTCTAAAAAAACAGTTTTCGTACACCAAAATAAACACTGAATCACCCTGTATCATCTATATAAGTAAATTGTTACAACATTCATATTTTTATAACTGCGTTTATGTATGACATACCTATTAAATATAGCCAAAATTATATATAATATTTACAACACTGTTCAGCTCACAACAACAAATACAAACGAAAAATGTTACGTTGTGCTATACTTCGAGTGTGTGATATTGACTTTACCGTCTTACATTTAATTGACATGTATATTAATTGGTAACCATGGCAATAATTAAGTAACAACATAACAAGTTCAAGGAGCTGTTTTCAATTGATGGAAATACATGGCTTATAAATACACATATAAATATAAATTGATTCGATTTTAAAAATTTAATATAGTATATGATGAGAATGATAAAGCACAAGAAAAGGTTTCAAGTTTTCTATTTAACATACAGGTTATACAGTATATCCCCAGATTGTCTTTACAATTGGAATAATTTTTTATTATTGCCAGAAAAATGCATTCTTCATAAAAAAAATTGTTTTAAAATGGTTAATCTCGCTTATATTGTCCAAATTTTCACACTGTTTTAGAGAAAATAGAAAAAAACATGAAAATATAATAAATCGAATTCCTAAAAATCAAAATTTGTTTCTATGGTAATATAATTTCGTTTTCATTCTTCAATAGAATCTGATAGAATGTAATAATTGATAGAATTTTAATTAACGACATATTTTTTGCCGTTTTAAAGTGTTAAAGAAGCACCAAATTTATTTAGTTCAATGCTACGAAAGGGTAATAATAGTTATCCGAAAATCTGATACTTTAACAACAGTAAAAACAATGAAAAATGTCTATACCTATGTGGCGGATTCGTCTCTCCAAAAAAATCCTTTATGGGTATTTCGCCACTGTTAAATTTTACATTGGTGAAACATCTAGACCCTTAAATGTTAGAATTAAAGAACATAAAGATCATTTAAGAAAGGGAGATTTTCACAAATCTAAGATTTGTCAGCATTCATGGGACAAAATAAATTTTAATAACGCCAAAATTATAATGAAAGAAGCGATAGCCTCTAAAAGAAAAATAAAAGAGGCTTTTTTAATTCAATCTAATAAAAATAAATGTATTGCTCCTGCATCTGTAGATGTTAGTAATGTATGGCAATCGCTTCTTTGATTTTAAGGAACATAACATAAATAAACATAACATACCGTCCTATTGCTGCCAAAAGTCACTAACTAACATTTTTCCGAACAACCAAATTCAATCACTAACTATATTTTGAATCGGAGAATCGATTGCAAAAGTCATTAACTACGATTTCTGGCTACTTATGTTTTATTTTAATACCGAATAGTTACTAACTATAACATCTTTATGCAATGCAATTCGTCTTTAGACGCATTTTTCTCGTAAGTAATAAAAAGTAAGTTAGTGACTTTTGGCAGCAATGGGACGATACGTAAAATTTAAAAATAATCATACAGAAAGTTTCTTTTTTTTTTGGTTTTACTTTATTAAGTAATTGTTATCAGGTAGTAATTGTTAATTTTGAAGTTTAACTTGATATAATATATAATGTCATTTTCACAGAACGTTAACGGTTTCTTGTAGACGTATCTGTTTTAAAAAAGTAAAGTGTTCTCGAATAGTTGAATTTAAATATTTTAAATAGTTTTTTTCTTTATTCTTTGTATTTTTTTTGCTTCCGACGACGGAAAGAGATAAACTTTCCGAAACGTTAAGCATTTTTTTCTTTGTTAGTCAAATTTGTATAACTGTAAACATAACTTTTAACAAGCAGTGTCCGTTTAGGTTTAACGCAGAAGTGTTTACAAAAAAAAACAGTGGCGAAATACCCATAAAGGATTTTTTTTGGAGAAAAACTATGAAGTTAATCAAAATTAATAATAACTCTTTGATATATTACCAGAAACGCCTTTTGATTTTTAGGACTTCGACCATATTTTCATGTTTTTTTTTAATTTTCTGTAAAACAGTTTGAAAATTTGGAAAAATAAACGGGATTCATCATTTTAGAACAAACCATTTTTTTTTATAAAGAATGCACTTATCTCCAAATATCTATAATAGAAAAGTTTTTCCTTAGAAAAGACAATCCGGGAATGTACTGTATATAGGGTGATTCAAGCCATAGAAAATGCCGTTGATGTTGTTAATTTTTGGTCTGATATTATTTTGTGTTTGTAATAAGTATGTTTCATAGAAGTCTATGATATTAACATTTTCTAATTGCCATTAAAGGCTTGAAACTTCACACGAAAATAATTACTGCATTAAATATACGAGCATTTTTTTAACAAATACTATGACAGATAAGATAGACTATGTTACCTGTCATAGCATAGTGTCATAGCATAAGGAACTACTATGATAGTGTGGTAATGAGTGTGGTAGTTTACAGAGTATCCAAGGCTAAGCTTCAATTATATAGAATAGCTTATTTAGATTTTCTGCAAATATTTGATTTCTCCAAGATAGTTAGTTAGGTTAGATTTCATCAAATGTGAATAGAAATTCAAAATCTAAACGAAAAAATGGAGGTAACATCGCAAAAAAGAATGAGAACTTGACCAAAAAATCTCCAAGATAATTTAGCTTTCTAAAAACTTCAAAGACGAAAGTTCGCTTAGCCAAAAACACCCTGTATAATATAACTTACCTCCTTTGCCATTTGCACAGGCATATATAACAAATGATAAAAATATGCACCATGCTGGTTTGGTAAAAGTGTAAGCAAGAGATCTGATGACGTAGGTTTGGTCAGTGTCTAAACAATACGCTTGGTATATTATTACAGTTCCCAAGAGTCCTGCCAAGCTCACAGCCCATAAAACAAGGTTTGCAGACTGAAAAATATTAGCTAGTTTATTAAAATATTATAATAAATATACAGGGTTGTTCACCACATACGACACAAAGATTACAAATAGTTTTTTTACAAAGATTTAAATAGTTTTCTTTTTGTAAACAAATGGGCTTGCAATAGTATTATTTTTGAATGGTATTTTGTATATATGTTGCTCTAAAAAAATCTAAAATGTCAATATTCAATGGGTATAGTAATAAATGAGGTCTAAATTATAAAAAAATGTATTTTCTACGAAAACTTGAAGAGATAGGTAAGAAATGGTATAGTACAATTTAATAGACAATTAAATTATGCATCTGAATCACGTAAAACATACAGGGTGTGACATTTAAATTAAACAAGTTATTGTCGTTTAAAGCTAGTAATTATTTAATATAAATTTTTGGACACTCTGTATAAGGAAGTATAATTTTTATTATTGCAACACAATATCTGAGAAATAAATAATCAAAAACGGTAAGGTTTAAGTGTGATAAACCTTAATCAAATTTACCTTTATTTTAATCGTAGAATCTAAAAATAGAATAATATACAGGGTGTTCTATTTAAAAAATACAACTATAATATTTTTTACTTATTTGGGACACTCTGTATCTTTTCAAATTATTTTTAAATTGTAGCTCTAATAGTCCTTCAACAAACCCAAAACTTACAATTTGTACAAATCTAATCGTTTAGCTACAATACTCCGTGTCGTATGTGGTGAACAACCCTGTATTGTATTTTAAAAAATATCTATACCCCTGTGGCGGATTCATCTCCTCAAAAAATTCCAAAAAAAGTCAAGTCTTTTGTCCGTTAGGCAAATTTGTTTATTAGTATAAAAAACTAAATATACACTTGGCTAGATGCCAAAAATAATATTTGCCAGAACGCAGAAAATATTAGAGGCTTTAAAATATTAGGATAAATAATTCCAATATTATAATTATTTTATCTTACTACTATGAAAGATGTATCTATGTATAATTATTCTTTGTATAGAATATTCAAAAAACACTACTTTTTGATCTGTTAGGCAAATTTGTTTATCAGTAATAATTAATTAATTATTGGTCTTCGTTGGATTAACGCAGCAGTCTTTACAAAAAAAAAACTATTTTATTTGGTAGATTTTCTTACAGTGCAAGTGGCGAAATGCCTATAGAACTTTTTTGAAAAGATGAATCCACCACAGAGGTATAGACATTTTTTAGAAAATATATTTTTATTTTTAAACAAGCAATCAGCTCATGCATTTTTCTTACTTTCATTTACGCCTTGTATAATATAATAATGATTTAAATTATTTACTTACTGAATTAAATAAGTATCTCCTGTGCTTTTGTGTCCTCATATAAAAACCTAAAGTGAATCCTAGGAAATAGTCCGTCAATTTCGATTGTGTATCGTATTCCCTAAATGTTCTGAAATTAAAATTATTCCATTCATATAATGCTCTCGATGACGTAATTAAAAGTTTATTTGGTATCGCTTATTACAGAAAAGTCCACAGACTTCGAGACATAGGAAAATCATGTCCATTAGCGTGAGTCCAAATTTTGACAAGTTTTCAAAAATGACAGTTTTATTAAGACTGACGTTTAATTTCACCTGACTGGTTCACCTGGTAAATGATTTCTTTTTATGGGGGTACATAAAATCCTTTGAATAAGAAGACTAAGGAAGGAGCATATCAAAAATCTTAGGTACACCGCGATGGGCCTCAAATATGGCCGATTTAAATTCCGGTTGATCAGTGTCGTTCTCTTTTTATTTAAAAAATGTAAAACTATGATATAGGGTAGACGTGGGGTAGACTCAATAATTTGTTGTTTTATTTTACGTTGTGAATAAATGTTGGCAGTTATTAAAATTGTTATAAAAATATATAATTCTAATAAAAATAGATAAGTTATAATAAGTATTTATTACCACAAACATCCGATACGCTACTGAAGCAAGTAAGTCAAATTAACGTATCTAAATTCTTTGACATCTAATTTTTGACAAGTAATAAATAAAAGCTAAAATGCAAGAAAAATATATAATTTAGTTAATTTAAGTGAATTTCATAAATGATCGGTTTACTACGTATGTATATTATATAGTCACTTACTAGCGAAAAGTTGTTCCATTATTTCACTCAATTTTTGCCGAGATCTACCGCACGCTACACAACGAACTATTTTAGAGTCTTTTTCGATAAATCGCGATAGTGTCACTGTTAATTTAAGTGCTGCCACACTTTCCATCTAGATTTACTACCTTTATACAACTATCAGTAGTAGAATAAAAAAGAAATAACATGAAATAACCTCAGTAAAGACTGACAAATCCACAAAATTTCAAATCAAATTCAAATGTGTCAAATGAATCGTCAAACAGAACTGTCAAGGATCCCCACCCTAGAGTGCTTTTATGGAGCTTTTTCCGTCCACCATGCATGAATACATGGATAGCATTATGCTCCTTCCTTAGTCTTCTTATTCAAAGATAAAATCTAAAATTTACGGCCGTGAAGAGATTCAAAATTTGGAGCAGTTAAGGCAGAAAATATTTAATGCCTTTGACACTGTCACCCCTGATATGTTATCAAATGTGAGGAGAGGGGATTTTATGATACTTTTTTTTATTGTTTAATGCAAGAGGAAGGGATTTTTGAACAATTTTTGTAATTTTTTAAATTTCATTATACTGTTTTTTTACCGATTACCCATTTCCTACCTTGACGAACATGGGAAAACAAAGGTCCTTTTTAGGACCACAAATATTTTGATTTAGAAATTTGTTACTTTTATTTTTTTTTGGATTAAAAAAACAAAAGTTGTTAATATAATACCAATTTAAAAGTGTTTTAGTAGTTTTAATACACACTATAATATAAAATTTATTATTATTATAACGTACATTATTAATACTATTATTCATTCGAAATGGCATTAAGGCCCAATTGTACCAATGATTTATTTTTTTTTAAAGATAAGTAGAGCTTGGAATGAGCTGTATTTATATTTACTTTAATATTCACCTTAATGAGGGAATTTGACTCATACAATTTTTGAATTAGAATTGTTTTTAATGATACTAACAATTTTTGTTCAATTTTTAATAAAATTTATTTAATATTAATAGAAATCGAGAATAGAGATTTGAAACCTCTTTTAGCGATTTATAACATTCTCAAATGAATTACAGGTGCCCTTATTTTCTATGAAAACCACACAGCTTTTTTCATAGTCGCTGCAGTTGCTATAGCTATAAAAAACTAATTTTTTAAGGTGTGAAAATTGCGACACACGATTGCGATTTTTCCTATGTCTCGAACTCGAAGCCTGTGGACCTTTCTGTATATCTTTACTTAGTTTCTAATAATAATAACATAATATAATAATAAATAATCTAATAAGATTTTAAACAGCACGAATAATGTAATAACGAAAATATCAAAATAAATAGACCAAAAATTTTATCTCTTTGTCTAAAACTATTATAATTTTTAAAAATGTTAAACTTACGGATCATACTCCCTAAATTGCAATTTGGTCCAAAGGGGTATGAAAACAAAAATGAGGTTTAACCCTAGAAGGGATCCCAGAACCCAGTTGAATCTTCTCCTGTATTGCAACGCTGTAGGAATCAGAATTAGTGGTGCTAATAAGAATAGTTGCCAGTCGGTTGATAAGTACCAAAGATGAGTATAACACTAAAAAATGTAAATAAAATAATCTTTTGTAAACTCAACAAAATAACATTTGGAGAAATAAGTAAACCCAAAAGATGTTTTGTACTATTGCTTCATATAAATATCACGTTTTGTCTTATATTTCTCAACGTAATCTCTATGTTTACTTATTTCTCTTGTGCAAAAATATTTTTAAATTTAATGGTTTGGTGAATGCGCTGGAACATTTAAGTTAATACAGAAAAATTATATTATACATACATAGAATAGTAAAATATTGATTGTTCAATAGTCTATGTTACATAGAGAGATAGATAGATAGATAGATAGATAGATAGATAATAGTTTATTCATTCCAGTAAAAAAAATTACAAATAATGTTCATATGAACGTGGAACCCGTCTAAACAAAGAAAACAAAAATATAATATGCTATTGACTATGGGTAGAAAAAACTAACATAATTTCCTTAAATCTAGATATATCTTATTCTTATCTTATATCTTATACAAATCAAATACATTTTTTTTTAATATTCAAATTAAAATCCACTTCCGACGGCTAGAGCAGCCTTTGAGCTCTCTATGAAAAAAATCCTGCACTGAATAAAATGCTTTATTTACTAAATACTCCCTTAAAGCGCACTTTAGTTTGTTTCTTGGCAAGTTTCTAATAGCCATGGGAAAAGAATTGTAAATTTTTACAGCATTAAATTTTATATTTTGTTGAATAAAGGTTTAATTACATTTTTCTGATTTTAGATTTTTGTACAATTTTGTATCATGATTATGATCTCTATTGCATTCTAAAAATAAATCTTTGTTGTCACTTACAAATATGACCGATTCCATGACATAAATACTAATAATAGTTAGGATATTTTTTGAGATAAATACACCTTTACAGCTATCTTTCGAATGCATTCCATACAAAGTTCGTATCAGCCTTTTTTGTAGTATCAATATCCTACTAATATCTGAAGAATTTCCCCAAAAGATAATTCCATATTTCAAGCGTGAATGTATATATGCATAATATGCACTCAATGCTGCTGTCTCGTTTATTTGGTTACGTATAACCCTTGATTATGTATAAATAGATGTACAATGAGGGCTTAGTACAAGCCCGTCTTCTAGGTGGCGCCTTGCCCGTTCTGAATTTTTGTATTCCCCTACGATTTTCTTTGAGGGGAATCCGTTAAACCCGCCCATCGTTCAAAAATGGAAGGGCGCGAGGTCACATCTATTGGGCTACTTATTAGCACGTTCACGCATGTTTTACGAAAATAGCTTTCCTTGTTTGTTTCAACTGTGACAAGAAAAAAGGAAAAAAAGTCATATTCGTTTCTAAATTCGGCAGTTTTGTTTATCTTTCTCGACTTCTGATTTCGTTTCGTTTAGGTTATGTCTTAAAAAATAATTATTTATAAGCTGTTGAGTTGAAATATACCTTAATGCATATCTAAATAATTAAAAAAATCAATTTTTTCGTCCCCCACGAAGAAACGAAACAGTATTTTTGAATATTTGGATTACAAACTATTATTTTATGAGTTTTATGTGTTGTGTTTACGTGATGTGTAATGTGTATTTTGTACCTGCTGGATAATATTTTGAAATATATTTAATTAAACAAAAAGCATCTGTATTACAGGTGAGTAAATACTGTTCATATTTATTTCTAAATTCATATAAATTTGTTTTAAATCACTCTTGGTTTTTAGAGTTTTTATCTTAGAGTTTTACTCATAGAGAGTCTGAGATAAGTTTAATAATAAACATTAAATTTGATAGATTGATAGATAGATTAAACGATAATGGCCAGTTGACTTAAAAATTTAAAAAATACTGATTTTATGCTATAAATTATGTTTCATTTCTTACTTTGCTTTTTTGGAACTGTCAGATATATTGTGTATTTTATAATTTTTCTTAATTAATAACGTAAAATATTGTTTATCTACACTCAACCCTGTGTTTAGATAAAGCTTCATATCAGATTTCCTATTTTATATTTTCACTCAAATCATATTTTTGTAAAATAGGTATGCTTGCATGCAAAAGTAGCGTAAATTTGACAGGGAGGTATTTTTATAGATATACAGGATGATTCGTAGATTTAAATACATATTTACTTTAGAGTTGTATAGTTTGTCAAAAGAAAAGCTATATTTTTTATTTTTTCTTGGTGAATTTGTCAAAAAATTGTCATTCCAGAAAATACTATAATGTCGTAATCGTATAGAGTTCATTTTGACCATTTTTGGATTAAATTTTTTTGTTTATATAATAAAATATATATTTAAAGCCCTTTCTAAGTTAAAAATAAGTAATATGGAAGTTTTTTACTGGAACTAATTTAAGGTAATGTTCTCTTCATATAATTATATAAAAATATGCTAAATTCCTAAATTATTTATATGATTAAATTTTCTTTATATTATTTTTTTTGTATTATATACAGGATGAGTCAAAACTATATATTATATTTTTCTTTGCTATTTCAAATGGAACACTGTATTTTATATCATAAATCAACAAATCTTTTATCCAACTTTTGTTTTGTTAAGATCTATATCCCAGATTAATAGTTATTGGATTGTTCTCAAAATTGTCTCTTTGAGAATAAACATGATTTGTTTTTCGCAATTTTTATTAGTAGGTTTGTCGTTAAAAGTGATGTATCTACATATTTATCAGCGACAAAAATTAAGAATTAGATGTCTAAAATAATTTCCTAATTATTTTTTTACTTAGCGTATCAGTAAATATTATTTATTTTATCGCTGCAGCTGAAAATAATTATGTATTCCAAAACAGGACATTACTGTATAAATATCGATTATTGGATTTAAAAATTATTTTTCAAAACAAAGTTGGAGAAAACTACGTTTATGTCATAAAATGTGGAGTTCTCTTTGAAATAATCGAGAAAAACCCAACATCTAGTTTTGACGCCACCAGTATATATCATGCATTATAGTTGATTACATACGTAGTTTTGTTTGGTGAAAATGAAACTTTCTAAAAGTATTCCCAATTAAAACATATTAAGAATTTCCTACATTATAATTTTGAAAGACGTTTGAGTGGGCAGACAATTTGGTTTAAAATAATCATATGTCTAAAAAATTTAGTCTAAAATAATCAAAAACCACTTAACACATATAACTCGCTTTTAAAAAATCTAAAAGAAATAAGTTTGTTTATTATATGTATATTTTATTAAATTATTATAGGTGTGACTGATAAGTGGTCGTACTCGCCACTTTAACCAACCATTGTTGGGACCATGGTAGGACCTTCAGAGATTATAATGCGAATTTTTCATACCATGTAAATCTATATACATATATTAATAAATGCGTTTGTTTTATTAAATTTGTTTTCTTATATGGTATGAGCGAAAAAAAACGGCGTCTATTTGTTTATGTACAAATATATGACATCGATATTCATTTCCAAGCCACCTCTGACGCCGTTTTTTTATCGTATGGTATACACTTACATATCTCTTATCCTTTAAATCCGATTATTTCTAATAATTATAAAAATAAGATACCTGATTGATTCTTCCGAAATATTATAAAATGAGATATCAGGAAATAAATAAAGTTACTTATCTCGTTTGTTTTGGGAATTCAAAAAAAAGGGTATAGAGAATCTTAAGAGACACAGTTCAAATATTATTTTTGAGTATAATGGGTGCTTCAAAAAATGTGGCGGATATAATGTAACATGTTTTTTAATGCAAAACTCTTATTTATAACTTTTATTTTATTTTCGATTCTGCCTAAAATTCTATAACTTTTTTTTTATAAATAACGTTAGTATTTGCAAAAAAAATTATTCCTATGTTACATAATTGTCAGTTGTTTCCGAAGTTGGGCTACCCAAATTTGGTAGGAGTGTTTTACAGAGGTGAAGAAAAAGATATATGTAAAAATACTTGGAGTTAGATGCTACACTGTGTTCAAACAGATTTTTTTGGCTGATCCTATATATTATTATTTTTTCTAGTGCTTTTACAAAACCTTTCAACATTTGTTAAGAAAGTATATTAAGTACATCTATACTCTATACAGCTTGCAATCTGTTCTGAATTTTTCAACTTTTATCCTTCTTTTACTTCATTTACACTATAACAAGTTTTGCCATGACAAAACAAAAATTATTTATTATTAAGCATTAAAGTAATTTATATAGTTATATGACATTATTAATAGAAATTGAAGAATTTTGTAAAATCTATCAGAAGAAATTATAATATACCGGGTGTTTTTCAAACGTGGCTTGATTGACGTATTCAATTAGTTTCGGTTATTTCTTGTTTCACCTGAAATGACTACAACTTGGTTTTTAAATGGTACCGTCGGTATTTTTTTACTTTATTTGACAGAATATGGCATTGTGAATAGAATGATTTAATGTCAACTTTTGACATATTTACTCAAAAAAATTGTATTTTAAATTACAATCTAGAGTGCCATGATAAAAAACAACATGTAACCGGTTGTAAAGGTAACGACAGTTTGACTCGATATACGAAGTGTGTGGTACCAAATTACCTATTTACCAGGTACCAAAAAGGAAAAGACAAAAAATATTAGACGATCAAATCAATTTTTCCGAAGCTCCTTGATTAAAAATTAATGGTTTTAACACAGCCATGACACTAGATTGAATTTTAAAATGCTATTTTTTTTAATTGAAAATGTCAAAAGTTGACATATGATATATGTCATTCTATTCAGAATGTCATTTTCTATCAAATAAAGTATAAAAATACCGAGGGTACCATTTAAAAATCAAATGTTGTACTCGTATACATTTCCGGTGAAACAGGAAGTGACCGAAACTAACGGAATACGAATCAATCTCGATTTATGTCATATACCTACTAACATTCCGAATTGGTAAACCCCGAATTTAATTTTTTTATCTGAAAAAATAAAAAAGTTATAGAGGTGAACCGCTTTTGAAAAAACACTCAGTATAGGCTGCGTCATTGAAAGAATCTGCAGATATTTTTCTATTTTAAATACGTAGTCGAATTTCAAAAATATATATTGAACACCCTGTAGCTCTACCTTAAATATCTACATATAAATATCTAATATTTTTTCTTCATCAACAAATTGAAATATTATAAAACTAGTTTTAGGTTACACCATTATACAAGAAATATACGTAAAAAAAGTAATAGAATTTTACGCAGAATCTAAAATAAAATAGGATGTTACATTTAAAAAAAACATTATGTTAAATCCGCCACACTTTTTACAAAGTTACAGACGTAGGTAGGTATAGTTTCATATTATATTCTTTAATTATCCATCTAAAAATAAAATATTTATATACCTAATATAATACTTTAGTATCCAACAAGTGGCTATGAAAATCAAAATAAATATAAATCCATGTCCAAAAATAAAAAATGTAAATAACGCTTTGAGGTATAAATTCGGTTCGAATCAGATAAGGTATTTTTATTCTTTACCGAGAATTAAATTCGAAGAATTCCTAGTCCCTACTTCTTTGCCAAATTCAATAGTCTCCGCCCCTTTTTACGTTTTAATTTCTGCCACCAGTTGGCAGCATCGACTTATACAGGCTCATTGACTAACTATTAATATATAAACAAGGGTATAACTTTCATTGCATAACAATAACTAGCAATATTTTTTGCTAAAAAATCTATGTGACCTTTCCAGTCTAGTTTTTTGTCGATATGTAAGCCCAGAAGCACTACCTCATCTTTAGAAGTTAGATTGTGCCCTTTATATGGTATATATATTTTATCGTTCGACCGGTTTGCAAACAGAAGAGTCTGTGTTTTTTAATATTTAAAGTTAGATCATATGCATTGAAATATTCTGTTAGCGTATTAATATTATCGATCACTCTTTTCAATAATATTTCTTTGTCAGATTCGCTAAAAATCAGAGCAGTATCATCCGCGTACATGACCATATACTCAGATGAAATAGTGGGAAGTTCATTCGTGTATAGTATATACAATAATGGTGCTAAAACCGATCCTTGTGGAACACCCTTTTTTATTGAAATTTCATTTGAGTACAGCACTTTCCCATCAAATACAGCACTTATCCACATCAAATACGCATTGTATTCGGTTTTCCAAGTATGATTCTACCAGTTGACGAGCAATCCCTCGTATACCAAAATTTTCTAACTTATTACATAGTTTTTTATGATTAACGGAATCAAATGCTTTGGATAAGTCTAATAGTAGAGCCATGGTGACCTTATTGTTATTCAGTGAGGTTAATACTTTCGAAAGGGATTGATAAATAGCACGAATGGTAGATTTGTTTCTTCTAAAGCCATTTTGCAGATCGGATAATAGACTGTTATTTGCAATAAAAGTTATAAATCTCTCATATATGATTTTCTCAATGACCTTATTGATGTTAGAAAGGATAGAAATAGACCTGTAATTTTTTTCATCTGATTTACTCTCTTTTTTATGAACTGCCCTAATTTGAGCAATCTTTAGTTGTTCAGGATAAGTCCCTGTCAGAAACATTAAATTTATTATGTGCCCTATTGGCTTAGAAATGATATTTGCGTTTTCTTTTAATATACTTGTAGGTATTTGATCTATTCCGACAGATTTCTTATTTTTTAAATGAGCGATAACTTTTTCAACTTCCAATTCGGTAGTCGGTTGCAAAAATATTGAGTTCTAGCATACTTGAGTATTATTTAAGTTAGAGTCTGGAGATGTGTTAACATCAATGTCTAAATTAGCGAAATATTCATTAAGTTGATTAAGTATTAAAATAGGACTATCATATTTTTGCGCAAAATTGTCAATTACAGAATGTTCTTTCTTATTCCCTGAAATTTTATTTACAAGCGTCCAGACAGCTTTACTTTTATCGTCTGATTGAATTATTAAATCATTATTATATTTCTTTTTAGCATCTAGAATTATTTTTTTTAGACACTACTATAATTTTTATAAACGGAGCTGTCAATAATACCATTTTTCATTTTATAATATAAATTTATTTTTGTTTTGGTAGATATCTTTATGCCTGTACTTATCCAGTTTTTAGATTTATTATTAATATTTATTTTTTTATATGGAAAAATTACATTTATAAGGTGGTTTAAGGTGTAAGCAAAATTGTTATAAGATGTATTAACATCATTAATACATGTTACATTGTCCCAGTCAACTAGTTCGAGATTTTGTTTGAAATATTGTAGTTTATGTTTTGAGAAAATTCTTCTACTAACAAAATTTGACATATTTTTTATATCCTTATTAACAGAAAAAGAGAAAAACTGAGCATAGTGGTCTGATAAATTTGTATGCAATACTCCTGTGTTGCAATCTGTATAATTAACAAAAATAATATTTATTAATGTTGATGATTCTTTTATTACTCTTGTAGGATCAAAAATAGTTTGATGAAGATCGTAACCCAATAGTAAGTCTATGAAAGTATCAGTCTGGTTATTTTTATTAAATAAATTTAAGTTAAAATCACCCATCAACAATAGTCGATACGTTTTATACTTATTTTTCACATAATCTAGAATATCATTTAATGAGTCAATAAATACCTGGAATGATGATATTCCAGTGATATATACACAAATAACTACTAACTTTAGATGAACTGCCACGGCACAAGCACATTCAATGTTTCCTTCTACGCTTTTTTGTACCACTCTGGTTTCCTCTTCTAGATGAAGATTTTTCTCTGCTAGGATGATTGCACCACCGTGGATCATATCTTTTCTTGCATATGTTGAGCATACACTATAATTTTCCAAGTTAACAAATGTGCTTTCGCCCGGCTTTAGCCAGTGCTCTGTAAGACATATTATTTGTGGTTTATGTTTCATGCTGTTTATATAAATCTCTAATTCTAGTATTTTGTTTCTCAGGCATTGTATATTTTGATGAAAAATATATACGGCTGAAGGTGGATGAGTAACTGTTAAAATTGATCTTGATTTTGGTTCGATTCTTTCCTTACACGATGTAGGGAAAAACGAAAAAAATCTACTTTTATGTCCTTTGGCCAAAAGTTTGGATGTTTCAGTCATTTTCAAGCTCTTCTCTTACACCAACTTTAAATGCTGTTTGATAACTACTACTTATCTCTAGTTGTGTAACTTCGGTATCCGCTTCGGGGTGGCGACTATCGACATACATTTTTATTTTTTCAGGCGTCACATTTTTTGACACCCGACCAACAAAAAAAAACCCATATTATATCAACTATGTTATATTCTGTATTTTTGTAAATTAGTGTTTTCTAAAGTATATTCCTGTATCAGCATATTTCTTTATTGTAATAATGAATCAGGTCTATTGAAGTCTTTAGAGTATAGAGCCTAATATCCAGTGTTCTAATATTAAAGGATTGATATACTTACTAGATCTGTAAAATTGTAATAATTCTGGATGTACAAAAATACCGACCACCAGTGTTCCTTACAAGGTCTTTCAACTGATTGATTGACTAAGTAAGCCATTGGTCCAGAACCCACAAATTTTGATATATATACCCCATAGAGGAACAACATCAACAAGGCAGGAGTAATTCTATAAAAAATTAAAAATAAAAATAAATATTTTATATTCAAGATGAAATTGGTATGACCGAAATAAAAATTAATGAGTGTAAAAATCAGCTATAAAGAACATACCATAAAATCGCATTAAAATTGTTGTAATTCAGTAAAAAATATGTATGTAACTACAAAAATGGTTGCGATTTTAATTTTAATGTATTATTATTTCTTAAAGAATGAAATAATTTGTTCTCGTATTAGGTAAAGCTAAATAATAAATTATATAGTAACTACAAATTTATAAAATTCAACTAACTACTAAACCTAGATAGACAATCGAATTGTAAAGCAGTTGCGATGTTCCAATCGCAGTTGAAACTGCAATTGTGATTTATAAATGCCTGTGACTGTAACTCGTGATTGTAATTTTATTGTTTAAAATTGGTACGCTGTAAACTGTGAAGCTCAATCTTTTGCTCTTTGATTTGTTAAGATAATGTAAATTAAACTGGGATGGAGAAATTTCATATGCCCTTTGTAGTTATTGTTACTTGTTTTTCTATTTGTCACGACTATAAAATAAAAAAATACATAATCTTTTGTGATAAACACCTGTGTTACTATTTTGTCACATCACAACAAGTGTTCTTAAGAACACCTGTAATAATCATCTATTGTCTAAAACATTTTTTTAATATAATCTTAACAAATCGGTTTTTCAGATATTGCAATTGAATGTTACAGGTGTCATTTCAAGTAATCATTGAATTGCTTTGTAAAAAAATGTTTTTATCTTAAAACTATATTGTATAGTTTAACACCATGTTATCTGTGGTTTGGTGTATACCCCTCGAATTGACATTAAAAAGTATCAAATTCAACGAATACATAATGAAACTATAGTTACATAGTTTCTCGATATATAATTACTTACAAGGTATATTATACCTTGTGTATTAATATTATTTTCGATATTTGAAATTGTTTAAATAAATATTTGTGAGGTTTGAAAAAAATAGTATGTTTTATTCGTAGTAAAAACGACTTTTTGTTATGTCAATTTTTACTTATAATAAACCAATGTACAATCAATTACTGTACGAAAAAAGGTTAATACCGTATGATCAGAAAAAAAATACTAATAAAACTACTAAAAATACAATCGATGACATTCCCTATATAATTTTAAATATAAAATGACAGCGATCTTCATTTCATAGCCATCGCTGACGCCGTTTTTTTTCGATGATAATTGGTATTGTTATATTAGGAAAAACATAATTATACAAATTATGATACTCCTTTACCCTAAATTATGTCAAAAAATATTATATTAAGGCTCCTATGACTGTATTTACCTTAAATATCTGTGAATGATCATTTGGGGTATAGAAACAGCTTGTTGTACCATACTTTTTTCTCCCATTGCTTTAAAATACTGATACGCTATGAGAAAGCCTGACAAATAGAAAAAGGTGTCGACAGCAAAATATCCTCCCATAATATAAAAAGCAGAAATGGTACGTTGAAACTGAAAAATGAAATAAACATAATTTAAAATTTGTTTCCTATATCTAAGGCTACATAATTTATACCGGGTCGGCAGTTCAGGCCCTGGGAGCCGAATTTCGTTTGTACGAACAGTACGGTCAATACGCTCAGTACTATAAGATGTATTGAATAAAGATAGAAAAGCACGTATTTTTAAAAGCGCATGAAATCTAGGGCTAAAACTACTAAAAATGGTTTAGAGACAATAACATTAAGGTCCTTTCATGGCCTTCGGACAGTCTGGACCTTAACGTTATGAAGACATTGTGGAATATAATGAAACAAAAATTGCGTGATGATTCCCAACGAACCGTTGCTCAATGACTCTGGCTTATGGTTATGTATCTAACTGACTTTCTTGCCCAACAGTAGCCCCGGGGGTTCGATATTCAAGGGCTGAAAGTTAGTACCAAATCCCGCTCGGCCAATAACGTTATCCGTCAAGATATACCTCTTGGTTAGGCCAGTTTCACAACTCCCCAAGTTAATCGAACACCCCATTTCTAGATGGCACCGGTTTGACTATTTTGTACCATACTAGGTATATAATCAAAAACCTTTCTACACGAAGGTGTAAGGTATACTAAATTAAATAAATTCACTAAATTGCTACACTATACACAAATTGTTTCCATTTATTTTTATCTCTTGCTAAACTTTTGGCTTCTGTTAATATTAGACCTCTATCTATCACTATCTTCTCTATTGTGTCATTCCGTGTTTTAGTTGGTCTTCCCCTTGGTCTTTTTCCCTACATTTTAGCTTCCCACACGCCTTTTACTGGTATATCGTTATTCATTCTAATCAAATGTCCATACCACCTAAGCTGACATTGCTCAATTTTATTCAGAATCGAATCTAATTTTAGTTCCTCTCTGATAAAGCTGTTCCTTAGTCTATCTTTCCTTGTTACCCCAAGTACTCTTCGTAGATATAAGATCTCCATTCTTTGGATCTTACTCTTCAATCTTTTAGTTAATATACCCAATTTTCACAACCAAATGTCAACGTCGCGTCGGTATGAATACTGTCTTGTATACACTCATCTTCACTGCTCTCGAGATTTTCTTTTTATTTAAGAAACTGTACTTAATGGTTTGATGCCCTGATTCATTATCTGCTCTACTATCTATAGAAAAACTTTACCCCCAACATCCTTTGGAAGCATATATAATGGATTTGCGACATAGGCCAACTGGCCTAGGCTCCAATATATCTGTATTTTGGATTCCTAGCATGTGGGTATTACCGGTAATGTAAAAGCGCTGAACAACCAAAACTTTTTGATTTTCTGGAAAGATCGGGATATATATATCTAAAATATAGGTATCTAAAAAGCTACATCTATACTAATATATAAAATCCTTAAGTGACTGACATACTGATTAATCACGATCCTGGTCAAACCACTCAACGTAAGAAGCTCAATTTTGGCATTCTAGGGTGTAGAGGTTCGATAAGAAGAGATTTTTCGAAATTCCAGTTCCAAAAGGGTGAAACCACCCCTCAAATATTACAATATTTTTTATTTAAAAAACGGTCAAGTTTCCTTTTTATTTTGTTTTTTTTACATATTTTAAGATTTTTTAAAAATGTATACAGGGTGTTTTGAAAAATATGGTCATTGATTAATCACGATCCTCCTTAAAGCGCTTGACGTAAAAAGCTGATTTTTGGAAAGCAGATTGACTTTAGGGTGTAGAGGTTCGATAAGAAGGGATTTTTCGAAAGTCGTATACTAAGGGGGTGAAAGTATCCCTCAAATAATAAAATATTTTTTATGTAAATCCGGTGAGTTTTTCGGAAAAACTCTTAAACACGTATATTTTATTTTGTTGTTTTACATATTTTAAGATTTTCTTTAAATTTATACAGGGTGTTTCATAAAATATGACCATTGAGTAATCACGATTCTGCTTAAACTGCTTGACGTTTAAAGCTGATTTTTGGCAAACGGATGGACTGTGGGGTGTAGAGGTTTGATAAGGAGGGGTTTCTCGAATCTCAAATTCCAAGAAGGTGAAAACGCCTCTCAAATATTACAATATTTGTTATTTAAAAAACGGTTAGTCTTTCGGGAAAACCCTTGGACAAGCATAATTTATTTGTTTTTTTTACATATTTTGAATTTTTTTAAAAAATCATATAGGGTGTTCCAAAAAGTTGGGTAATTTCTTAACCACGATTCTGCTTAAACTGCTTGACGTAAAAAGCTTATTTTTCGCAAACGGATTTTTCGAAAGTGAAATTCCAACGAGATGAAACTACCCCTCAAATATTACCAAGTTATATAATAATATCGCCATATTGTTTTTTCTCATGCTGACATAAATGTGAGAAAATTTTATCCAGTTTGTATGTTAATGGAAATTCTTGGTTTGTTTTATCATCACCATTACAAATGATTAATTCGACGCGAACCAAGTCGCTGGTACACGCTAGTTTTGGTATAAAGCAACCTATTCATTTCACCTACTAATTCAACTGTATACTCTGTTTTTTTTTCTCAGGTAAGATTTCGACAGACGATGACAGAAGAAAAGCAGATGACGTCCCATACCAATCTATTTATTTTACTAAAAAAAGTTTCTAATAATTTTTAAGTTAACTATGGATGGGTTTAAATATAAATCCGTCATGCGTCGTCTCTTGTTGTTTTTAACCAGTTTTATTGGTTTATTTAAAAAATGACAGATCGTATTTCAATTTTATTGGTTTGACGGAACGATGAATGACAAACGGACGCCGATGCGTATGAACTCGCCTTTAGATTTTTGACGCTTGTCAAAGACTTGCCAAATTAGAGGTTATAATTTTGTGTCAACTTTTGTCAGTTTTGTCAAATACCCTGCGTTTTGGAAGATGATGCATTTTGATTTGTGTTATTACGTGTGTTTTGTGTCTTTTGAAGTCAAGTGGAGGAAAAATCGAGTGAAAATTAACTGTAGACCCAGAGCACAGTTTATGGTTAATACTCGCTGCCTAGGCAAAAAGTCTTATACACCAATAAAATTACCATCGTTAAAGTTCGTATACCATCTCGTCGTAGATAAGTGCATCTCGAATATGGTAGAAGTACCATAGTAAACACATACTAAAAACTGGAGTAGCTGTAAAATATCGACATCACACGATACGTAAATAATGGGTTTTAGTACTGCACAAGAAAAATAATGCCAAAGGTACTGGTTTAAAAAATTAAGATTAAAGTTAATTAATCAACCTTTAAGGTACCTATAAAATTTGGTAAGTGTTATTAATAATAAAATAGTTTGTTTTATTTATTCCTGCCGAATATTACAAATTTGTATTTGTACATAAGTTATATTGATAAATATAATCATAAATGCGGGAAGTTTCATAAAGCTTGAAAGTAAGAAATAGTTCTTTATTATATTTTTTTGGTATGTGGTGTCTTGTTCTTGTTTGTTTTGTATTAACACATATCGTTTTTTATTAAATTAAATAACTCGATTACCTTTTTCAGTTTTATACAGTTTTTTTCACAATATTTTGAAGTAATCACTTGTCAGTCAAATTTTAAATATAATAATTTCCTGCTATGCGTTCCAGTTGTACCAACTTATTTCTTTGTAAAATAAAATAAACTACTTTGAAATTAAAATGACAGACACATCTATCACTGTCAAGGATCTTCTCGTTGGACAGACTATATATATTTTTACGTTTTATTGATTTATTCTATGTTGTTCGTACTATTTACTTTTTATTTGTACGAAATCAATGTCTGTACTCTTAACATATACAATCTGCCTATAAACGTGTTGTTTAGTAAAATGTCAAACATTGTACCGTACTAAAATAGCAGGTGATATGCCGCTAAATAGCCTTTGATGCTGATGCGGCTTGAAACCAAAATTTCTTCTTCTAATGGCTTGATACAAGCGGGACGTGTTGCCAATTCTTTCGATGATTTCCGTCTCTTGTTCTCCTGTGTTGCTAATGTTCACTCCCAAATATTTGTATGAATCGACTTGTTCCAAATTGATGTCAGTTATCTAGTAAAATTTTAGTTTCAAGCCTGATATTCATATTGACTTCTGTTTTACCTAAAATCATAAGTTTTGTTTTAATCTCATTTAAATCTCAATTAATCTCATTTTAATCTCATTGATTTTTAGATTTCTCTCTCCTAGAGCTTCCAGCCAGATTTCTAAATTTCTTTTCAGTTCTTTTTCGCTGTTAGCTAAAATTGTCAAGTCATCTGCAAGTGCACATTCTTTTATCCAAATTGGTTGTAGATTTCTATGACCGGCGTATACTCTTCTAACAATTGTACTTGTATCCTTTATTATATCATCCATAACTAAATTAAACAGGGCCGAGCTGAGGGCCCTGTCTCAGCCGTTCATTTACGGTAAAAATATCCGAAACCACATTGTCTGTTCTTATATAGTTTCTTGTGTTTTTGTATAAAGACATTATGGCACTCTTCAATTTTGTATGGACATTCCGTTTCTTTAAGCTATAGCACACGACTTGTCTAGGAACCCTATCGAAAGCTTTTTCGATGTCTAAATATGCTACATATATATGTTCCCCGTTACTTTTATTCTTTCTGCCATTTGTTTGAGCGTGCATATTTTACAGATGTTTATTTATTGACTTTCTTTGCTAAAATCTAAAACTAACAACCCAAAAGATCGAATTTAACTACAAGACAAATAATCTGTTACAAATATATGAATAATTATGTTAGTTGAATTATATTATTAACTATACTTACTTCATTTATATCAGCGACATTGATGAGGGGAACGACAGTAAACATTCCTACAGAATGTCCAGCCAAAATCCACAGCATACTGATAGCTCTGAGTCCATGGAATGCCAGAATTTGATCTCTGCTGGCCGATTGTGTCGTAACTTTTAATAACTTTTTTCCATTTTTGACAACAGAGAAAGCGGTATATAGAGGATGTGGTTCTATAATTGTAAAAATGCTTACTACTCTTTCTTATTTTTTTAATTATTTCTAAAGGTGTCAATGTTAAAGAAATAAGTAAAGCTAGTGGTCTTTCAAAAAATACTAATGTTGCTAGTTTTTCCGGAGATACCAATTGAAGAGAAATTTATAATATGCATAGTATAGAAATGAAATGAAATGTAAAAAAAATGAAGAAAACTTTTAATATGCGTGTATATATTATCATTATTTTAGTTTAGTACTATGAAACATGCATATATAATTAAATTATTCTTTGAATGATAAATCCTGAGTTTTTACTAAAGTAATATTTATGGAAAAAAAAAATTAAAGGTGTGTTCACACCTAATGCGCCGCTCTGCGCCGCGCCGGGCCTATCATTTTTTTAACATATACTTTTGTGCGCGCTAAAAAAATACACTTCAAAAATACATGTTAAAAAATGTTTTGCGCCGAGCGGCGCAGCCGGTGTGAACGCACCTTTAGATTTTGATTTTTTTTCACTTGTTAAAATAGTTTATCTAGAAAATCACATGTGAAATGTAAGCGTCCCTATTTTTTCTTATTTTTCTAGGGTGTTGGTACAAATTAAATATCGGTACTTACTTCTATTTCGTTTGCTTGCAATAATATCGTACGATGTGGAAAGAACCAGAGAGGCAAGAAAGAGGCAAAAGAAACATCTAAAACATAAAATATATAAATGTTAATTATACTGTATGTCTGTTGTAATAGACCACACAGCACGTAGGTATAGAAAGAGAATTTGTTTTAAATTTCTCGCATAAAATATCTTGCATATATTTAATTATATGAATAAGCTATAGTGTGTTCAGCGAGAGAATACAGCATTTTGACAGATAAACTCTTAAAAACAATCTACATGAATTAAAATAACAGACAACTGTCATGATCTTGTTATTTTTTGGTGTCCTGCTGTTCAAGTTTCCACAGACAACATCAATAAAATGACAGAATATACAAATTGTCTGTGAATTAAAATGATAGACAATTGTTAGGGATTCTCCCATTGGTGAGACTAAGTATACTTACGTCACTACTATTTCTGATGCGTTCATACTAGTGTTGCTCTCCTTAGTTTGACAGGACCTTTCATTTACCAATTGTTCTAATATTGGAACTAAGATTGTGCTATTCGTTACCATATTCACTATATCCGAAGCACTGCATGCTTCTGGTACACAATAAGACAGAATATATGTTTGATCCTAAAACAAATTGACTTTTTACTTTTGGATAGTTTCAAAATTTGATCAAAATCATAGATAAATGAATCAAGTTTAGATTGGAAAGTGCCCATAAGGATAATGTAAACACTATTTGGCGCTATTCTTGCAACGGTCGCGACCCAAAACTTCTGAAAATTTCGGAGCGGTTCGGCTTTTTCCGGAATTATATTGCCCAATATTGTTTATTCAAATTTATTATTATTTTCGTTTAATTTTATAAATAAAATACAGTGTGTTGCATACAAGAAACTTTATTTTATATAAGGACGCATGTATGAAATACCTTGGAAACATTGGAAACCGACGTTATGCCACGATCCACGATGGTTTTTGCAGTTCACAGTTCACAGCACAGCTTTTTAAGTTTTTAATGCCACTTTTTCACAATTATCACCGGTTGGAGTAAATAAAACTTGAATTAAACTTACAGGATAGCAATAATTACTTTGAAAATGGACGCTATAAACATTTTTCGGGATTTCTTTAATGAAAGCGGTTTAGATTTTTATGATTTTTGAAGATTCTGACTTTGACAAGAGAAAATTATTTCTGTTTTTGTTTGTCGTTGTTCTTAGCGACCGCTACAGCAGCGCCAGATCGCGTATAACGGTCGCGACCCAAAATAATTTCGCGATCTAAAATTTATACGGGCTTTCCGATCTAAACTTGTTGCATTTATCTATGATCAAAATTAGATAACCGAATAGAATGACATATCATATATGTCAACTTTTGATATTTTCAATTAAAAAAAATAGTATGTTTTCTTCAATCTAGAGTGTCATGGCTCTGCTCATAATGAAAGTTGACTCTAAATAGCAGGTATGTGGTAAACACCATTGAGTTATGATTAAAAATACGATTTGGACATCTTTTAACCGGTCAGGAAAAGTCTCAAGAAACATTAGATGATGGAATATATTTTCCCAAAGCTCCTTGATTAAAAATTAGTGGTTTTATCACAGTCATGGTAATTTGAATTAAAATACGAAAACGGAAAGATGTAGAAACAAAATATTTTTTGGGTATATGTGGGGAAGCAATGTGCAATTTAAAATTATTTTGAAATATACAGGGTGTCCCAGAACTAAGATCCATACCAAAGTTATATTTTTTCTTATGGAACACACAAAAAAGGCATTTATCATAGGGGTTAAATATGTTTCAAATCTTTGGTTTTTGAGATATTCAAATATATTTAAATATGCATGCTACAAAAGAATTGATTATTAACACCCTGTACATTACTTTTCAGAATTAATTCTTGTGCTGAGTTTAAAGGTAAAGAAATAAACTTTGCTGAAAATATATTATTGCTTCCTTAAATTTATACAGGGGTACCAAAATTTGGTGATCTATTTTAGGAATTTATTTTACATAAAAACTTGGTTATTTCAGATGCAACACCCTGTATTTTTTTAAATAAATCGAAGCAGATTCAAATTCTCTTTCAAACTATATTAGGGTTTCCTATAGATACCTATCTATCTCAGATTTTGAATAAAAAGCGATTTTTAAGTAAAATGGCAATCAAGATCGCTGGTATCGCCATGGCAATTTTCTAGTGACAGTTAGTAACTATTTTTAAAATCGACATTTGTTTGTGGACGTTATTATTTAAATAGCTTATTATTTAAATAACTTAAGAACAATAGCTTAATAAGTAAGTATTCTTCATTTTATGAAGAAAAATAGAGCCGTATCTGCTGGTGGCTGGCGCATGGCGGTAGTGATTTTATTTTGTGAGGAAAATTATTTCTTGGCTTCAAGAGCTTATGCTCAAAGATATCCAAATAGGAATCTTCCTGATAAGTGTTCCTTTGAAAAACTACTTGTCCTATTTCCTATTTCGCAGAGTAGTTACTAAAAACATATTATAGTTGAGTAAAAACGATATGAAAATGTGTCAAAATATTTTTTGGAGGTATAACTACATCATATCTATACAGGATTATCAGTTAGGGCTTTGTGCATGTGAAATGACTAATTACGATCTTTTTGGGGGGGTCAGAAATTTTTTATCTCGGAAAATGTCAAAAATCTGTCAAAAATGTATAACCATGTTTTTTTACCTTTCCTACGCGATAACTCCTAAACTAATCAACTTATTCACATACTCTTTTTTTTAATCGATTGAGAACACATAGGCGGTGATAGCTGAAGTAAATTAAAGTTCCATAGTGAGTGTATTTTCTTTTGGAAAATGGATTAAACTTCAAACATTAACTTTATTGTATCATGATTTTCGGTAAGCGAGAAACTTTTTTATTTGAAGGAATTTTTACATAGTATCTGCGTATGAAATAAAGTAAAAATATTGAAAAAGTTTTTAAAACTTGGTACAATCTTCTATTGCTAGTACTTTTCTAGTCATCCTAAATTAAATTTACGGATAGACCGCGCGCGATTAGGCAGAAATCTGTCGTTGGAAGTGAAGGAATTGAATTTGCCGTAATTGGCTCTTTTATAGAAAATCCATATTTCTACAAGTTTTCGTAAAATAAAAAAGCAATAACATTTTTTAGTAAAGTTTATTTCTTTACCTTTAAACTCACCAGAAGAATTAATTCTGTAAAAGTAATGTATAGGGTGTTAATAATTAATTCTTTTATAGCATGCATATTTAAATATCTTTAAATATCTCAAAAACAAAAGATTTTAAACATATTTAACCCCTATAATAAATGCCTTTTTTTGGGCCCAAGAATCTAAAAATGAAATAAAATACCGGGTGTTCCATAAGAAAAAATATAACTTTGGCATGGATCTTAGTTCTGAGGCACCCTGTATATTTCAAGATAATTTTAAATTGTGCACATTGCCTCCCCACATATACCCAAAAAATATTTTGTTTTTACATCTTTCCGTTTTCGTATAATCAACCGAGGCGAATGACGACATTTCATAGCCATCGCTGACGCCGTTTTTTTCGATCATATTGTATTAATACATGTAAAGTGTTATGTGTTCGTTTTCACTCGTAAACAACTAACTGAACTAACTTTTGCTAACAATGAAACAGACTACTTTTGGAACGGGCTAAAGAAATAAAAATAAACTTTCAATAACCAAATGTTTTCAGACCACCCTCGTATATAAGACTACCGATAAATGAAATAGGTTGTAAAAAAATCTAATAAAACTTATTCTATTTTTTATATAATTTATATAACATTTTTTTTCTCACACTCTGTTTTTCCTTTTGGCACCTATACCCAAATTATCTATTTTATCAGAGAGTACCGCAAATCAAACATCATAATATCATCCATATGCTTTGGATTATATTTCTTTTTGTTTTATGATGTTCACTCTGTATGCACAATATATTTTATTGAATGTTTGATAAGAAGTATCGGTTAAGAATTATATCATAAAACAATCTGATAATATTAGGAATAAAAAAGTCAAAAATTTGATGCGATAACAGTACAAAAAAATACAAAAATTGGTCCAATGACCCCCTTTCTGATAAATAGTAAATACAAAACTTTATCTTAAAGTAGTATTTTTAAGTAGTTTTGCATAAACATAACACACACAATTAAAATAGTGAAAAACTCTCTCACACACATACCTAATTTAAATGGACACAAGATATACAAACCAAACGATAAAAATAGAAAAATACTAGATTAGCACTTATTTTATTAAAAACATATATTAATAAAGATTGTCAATTATTATAGTTTTTTATAGTATTTCTCATTAGATTATACATATTTTTCCAATACCGGGTGTTTTTCAAAAGCGATTCACGCTTATAACTTTTTATTTTTTCAGATAAAAAACAATATTTGGTATACCAGGATTGATTGACATATTCAATTAGTTTCGGTCACTTCCTGTTTCACAAGAAATGACTGCAATCTTTGTCTTTTAAATGGTACTCTCGCTATTTTTTTACTTTATTTCATAGAAATTGACATTCTGAATAGAATAGAATAATATGATAAAAATAGAATATTATGATATATCATAAACTCACCGCCAAAAAAAAACCGGCCACTAAAAACTAGTCCAAATTTCAAAGTTGGATTTCTCGCGAACCACTCATTAGATTTTGATGATCTTTTTTTAAATTGTTAACTAATTCCTTGTTAACGGATGCTACGTCAGAAATTTTTATTCCGAATTTATTTTTTTTGTTTTAAGTTTTTTGCCAGAACTTTGTAACACCCTGAAGGGTGCAGCAGCTGTAGTACCTATGGCTAAATCAAATCACATTGTAGCCTCATCTTTCGTGAGCATTTTGTTTTTTTAATCAAGACATTATCTCTGTTTGTATTGGAGATACGCTGCTTTAAAATGAACGTCTCGGAAAAATGCTTCGCATGCAGAATGTTTTATGTGTAAATAATCAAGGCGACATCACTGTCAAATTAAAAAATGCCATTATCTGTGATGGATGTTGCTCGTATTGTGGCTGTAATTGAGGATGGCCGAAGTCAACGTTATGTGTCCGATACCCTGGGTATACCACGAACAACAGTCTAGGATGACTGGAATCGGTATATGGAAACGGGAAATTTCACCAGGCGAGTGGGTTTCGGAAGAAAACGGAAGACAAATACAATTAACGACCGCTTTATTGTCTTGAATACTTTACGAAATCGTAGAATTACAGCGTTTCAGAATCAACATCTGCTACAAGCCGTGCGTAGAACTCAAGTCAGTGAGAGAACAATCCGACGAAGACTTAAAGGAAACAGCTTGTCTGCAAGGAGGCCTGCCACAGGACCCCAGCTACTTCCAAGACATCGTCGAGCACGTCTTCAGTTTGCGCGTTTATATGTAAATTGGGATATTGAGCAATGGACTAAAGACCTTTTCACGGATGAATCGCGGTTTTGCCTGCGAAGCATTTTTCCGAGAGGTGCGTTTTAAAGCAGCGTATCTCCAATACAAACAGAGTTAATGTCGTGATTAAAAAAACAAAATGCTCACAAAAGATGAGGCTACAATGTGATTTGATTTAGCAATAGCCTTGTTTATATATTCTTAAAGTTGTTCAACCGACTAGACGAAATGTGCTGCCAACTGGAGGACAAATCGTGAACCTTTCGGGGCGGAGTCAAAAATATCGCTTATTTTCGTTATTTTCCTCAGAGTAATGTAATAATATAGCCTCGGGTTTCTGCGAACTTTAATAATGATCAGCTGATTAAGAAATTTAAACGAAACTTTTATTTTATTGTAAATTGTGTATTATTTTTGCCTGTTATTTTAAGAATTCTAAACCGTATTAAAAAAGTATCAAAGAAATTATTATTTCGATATGTTGGTACATTATTTATAATTTATGATAATGCTAATTGCTGTTAATTAATATCTAAAAAAAAAGTTACATACCTATTTTAATTTGATTTAATGCAGGTTTATAAAAGAATCATTTCATTCTTAGATTATTTTATTCTAAATCGACTGCTTTACGAATTTTACGATATATTTTATTTGAAAACATAAAACTTTTTACATTTTTGATGCCAACTAATTGGTATGGTATTATTGGTATGGGAATTAGCCAAGAAAGTAAAGTATTGGCTATAACTTGTAATTTTTCAAAAAAAAACATATTATACCTATATCGCTGAAAAGCTTAAAGAATGGCGCTTTTTATGAAGTCATGGTCAACTAGGATTTCCATTTAAAAAACATAATGTTTGTGTCATATGTCAAAAATGACAGGCTTTAGAAAAAAAGCAGAAAACACAAACTCATTAGGTATGTGATTATCTACAACTTTTATCTGAAAACTTTTTGTCTAAAATACCATATGATCGAATAAAAACGGCGTCAGCGATGGCTATGAAATGACGATTGATGATATTTCCCATATAATTTTACATATAAAATGACAACGATCTTCATTTCATAGCCAACGTTGACGCCGTTTTTATTCGATCATACGGTAGATTATAATGGAATTAGAGACAAGTTTTAAAATAGCCAAAATTTGTGTTTTTCGAAATATCTAGTAAGCCTTAAACTTCTCCGAAAAATCCGAAAGGCGCGTGACCCCACAAAAAAAATCCGAATAACCCCACAAAACTGCAATTCTTTCCCCATTTAACCGACTCTCTATCTCCAGTAGTTTCCGAGATACCCATAGAGAACATCGTAGGAAACTCATCCTGTATAGTATTTAGAAACTAACTATTATTTTTATTTGACTAGATTAATTTGAATAATAAGACTCGATTAATTTAATTTAAAATAAATTTGATCAGATTTTTTTTTCGTATATTCTACTACCAGAAAACCAAAATTATATGATAACGCACTTTTCTACGAAGTTGAAGGAATATATAGAGTATCTATCACAATACTTAATAGAATTAATACAATTAGAAGAAAAACAAAAAGAAAAAATACCCAAATACCTTCACCTACTACTCATGTACAAAATAAACGAATATAATCTCTTATAAAAACACAACACAACTACTTCTTGTATTTTACACTGAAAAAATTATAAACTTACTAATTAATCAAACAAAAAGAAAAAATAACCAAATTATCCCTTCACCTACTACTTAACTACAAAATAAATAAACTATAAAACACTACTAAACTATTTCTGATATTCTACACTCTACACTAAACATTATAATTAAACTTAATAAAATTAATCTAATTTTACACTACAACCACTACAACTATAAAGAAATAAGACATTTTTAAAACTAGAAGAAACAGAACTTCGATACGTGCGACCAGTATAATAGATCAAGCGGACAAAGAATATAAAATACTTTAAAAATGTGCATTCAGAAAGAAAAAATATCTCGAAAATTATCTAAACAAACATTTTTTTTCTTATCAGTGAAAAGCATCGGCCTCGTCGGCCTTGCGGAAATTGTCGGGTATTTACAATGGTCGAATTGTATAATTACCAGCTTTTATAGCATATCTAATAGACAAAAAGTATCTGGTCGATTAGTAACCAATTGGCACGGTCCGAAAAATATCGATTTTTATTTTCTCTGTTTTTATTGGTCGCTTCAAAATTCAGAGTGACAAAAAATATTTTTCTGTAGTAAAAGACTGTGAAATACGCCCCGCCATCTGGGTGCTTTACATCCATAAACGTCTCAGGTTGAGCTACTTTAAAAATTCATATACAAGGGCAATAGCTACTACAGCTGCTGTACCCTACAGGGTGTTACAAAGTTCGTGCAAAAAACTTCGTCTTATTGTTGTGCCCTGTATATGCTCAAAATAAATTAGGAATAAAAAATTCTGACGTAGCATCCATTAAGAAGGAATTAATTTACAATTTAAAAAAAATCATCAAAATCTAATGAGTGGTTCGCGAGAAATCCAACTTTGAAAGTGGGACTAGTTTTTAGTGGTCGGTTTTTTTTCCCTTGAATGTATGTCAACTTTTCACATTTTCGCTTAAAAAATCGTATTTTAAATTTCAATCTGGAGTACCATGACTGTGTTAAAAACTCTACTTTTTAACAAGAGAGCCTTTGAAAAATATATTTAATTGTCTAATGTTTTTCATGTCTTATTCGGTTAAAAGATGCCTAATTCGCACATTTAATCATATCTCAATTTTTTCAAATGGAATAATTTGGTACCACACGCTTGCCAAAATTGGTGTTATAGTATCTTATCTATGGTTATAATCCGCATGTTGATGATGAATTTTAGGCTGTATTCCGGCTTGATTATGCCCATTCTAACAAAAAAATAAGATAGAAACAGTTAGTTTATTTTAAAATCGACGAAATACCAGAATACCATAATACCAGATGTATTAATATCTAATAATTAAGATATTAATGAACAAGAAACGATGATTCAGTGAAGTCATGGTAGGCTTTGGAAAAAAGTTGCTTTTTGCGTAATAGTATAAACGTCAAATTGTTATTAGATCAACATTTTGATATTCTTAGCAGCGTTTTTTTAGCTTTTAAATGCTTTTTCAAAATGCCTTTATTATTTGAAGTAGTTGAAGTTGTTGGTATTTTGAAAAAGCAATCAAAAGATAAAAAAACGCTGCTAAAACTATCAAAATGTTGATCTAATAACAATTTGACGTTTATACTATTATGTCAAAAGCAACTTTTTTCCAAAGCCTACTATGATTTCACTGAATCATCGTTTCTTGTTCACTATTATTAATATCTTAATTTATTAGATATTAATACATCTGATATTATGATATTCTGGTATATCGTCGATTTTAAAATAAACTAACTGTTTCGATCTTATTTTTAGGTTAGAATAGGCATAATCAAGAAGGCTAGTGGTACCGTGTTGTAAAAATAAGGTAATTAAGGGCGGGAGACTTTACTGATCTTTATTTATCAAATTATTCGTTATAAATAGTAACAATAGATGTAAAACTTACCAATGGTATCACCCAACCATATGTACAATGTTTCCCAAGTATTCTCGTGTCATTCACATACCTATCTATTTGGACACATTGATCATAAGTTCCATAATCTTGTGGAGTGGTCACTAGTAGTCCGGTATATGGAAATTTTGACCAAGCATCAGCCACTATAATAGATGAAATAGATTTTAGTAATATAATTTTAGGAATAATCATGCTTTCTATTTTTTCTATCACTATCACTTTTTCTGTCATTGTGCCTAGTTTGACTGAATTATCGTTTTTTTTATTATTAATTATTAATTATAAATTATTCAGAGATTTTCAGAGCTCAATAAATGTAATAATAAAAAATTAACTTGTATACAGGGTGCTACAAATTCGAGGTACGAGCATTGGTATCTCGGAAACCGTAATAGATACGAAGATGGTTATATTGGGGCGAAGTTGCGCCTTGGGATGTTCACCAAGATGCCATCAAAAAAGTTTTAAAAATTTCAAGGATTGCTGAGTTTTTTGGAAAAAACGGATTTTTTTGAAAATCAATTTTAATTTTTCATGTCGTTACTTTTTAGAAAATCAAATAACTAATTGCACATTCTCATAGCCACTTTATTAGGGCTATCTGATAGTATTTTTAGATTTTTAATTTTTAACTTAATTAGTTGATAATTTGTGAGAAACAGAGGCCAACTTGATTTTTTTAAATACGGACCTGTATTTTTTATTTCAGATTTTGAAAGAATTTGGTCTTCTGAGTACAATGATATGCCACACTTATTTTTTTTTTGTTGCGGCATTTAAACAATTTATTTAAACTAATTTCAAGTCCTGCTCTGTTTTTTTTAAATATTTAATCTATGCATTGTTACAATATTGATGAACTTTAAAACTTAACTATGATGTGAGATAAAACATTGAATGCGGAAAATCAAATACAAAAAAAATAATATAAAAGAAATCATATAAATATAATATAATATAAACTGTCAAATCATTTTCCCGGATTGGTAATGGTGGAGCAGTATAATGGCCAGCGACTGTGGTGGAGCAGTATAATGGCCAAATGACTTCATGACGTCATTTGTAAAAGTGAAATCAGTACACCTCAACATTTACAACAAAGAGTACAAAATGCATTCGGATGTATAAGAAGATCTGTTGAAAGGACTATACATAAAACTGAACGAAAAATAAATGTGTGCAATAGAGAGGGTGGTATAAACACTTTCGAACACGTAGAGCATTAGAGACTTGTTTGTAGAAGTTGATATATTTATAATAATTACGATTAATATTGTGCAATTGTGCATATTATTAGATCATACATTGAGATTTCAAATTCACAAAAAAAGTTAAAAATAATATCTTTTAAATTGCTGACCTGGAAATTATTTATTTAAATGTTTCAATTGGCTCGATTTTCTTTATTGTTACGATGAATGTAATCAAGTTGAATAATTTAAAAATCCAGAGTCAGACTTGAAATTATTTTAAATAATAATTAAACAGTTTTGTTGTTGTTAAAGTATCTAAAACAAAATAAAAATAAAGTGTGGTATATCGTTGTACTCAGGAGACTAAATTCTTTCAAAATCTAAAATAAAAAAAGCTGGTCCGTATTTAAAAAAATTAAGTTGGCCTATGAATCTCACAAATTATCAGCTAATTTGAAAATCTAAAAATACTACAAGATAGCCCTGATAAAGTGGCTACGAGAATGTTCAATTCGTTTTTTGATGTTCTAAAAAGTAACGACCGCAAAAAATAAAATTGATTTTCAAAAAAAAAATCGTTTTTCTTAAAAAACTCAGCAATCCTTGAAATTTTTGAAACTTTTTTGATAGCATGTTGGCGAACATCCCAAGGCGCAAATTTGTCCCAATTTAACAATCTTCGTATCTACGGTTTCCGAGATACCAATACACCCTGTATAAATAACTGTACGTTATAGTTCTGAAAATGGTATAGTCATGATGAAGATCGCATTGATCAAAAAGTAGACAAAATACAAAATCAAGAACTTCTAAGTGTCTTCTAAATAAAGTATTATCTATGTAATACAATAATAATCTATCAACGATTTTTTGAAGTACATAATTATAATTTATATTTGCTGTTAAAAATCGGTACTTATAAGTCAATAATATACAAGATGACAATTTAAATAGTAACAAAGAGAGATTGACAAGCATTTCTAGACAGTAATATAAAAAATTAAGTTTGTAGATTCCAACCCAGTTAAATACTCAGTCAATTTAAATATTATAGTTCGTTCTTCGAATTTATGTAACAAAGATAACCAAAATCTTGTCAGAAAGTGATAATTAACATTGAGTAATTATTTTACGACACCTCATACAGGGTGCGGCAAAAGTGCGTTGTGCATCTGTAGCTCCTAGAATAAAAAAAAATTGAGAATTTTGTTTAAATGCACCCCTAAAGTATGTATTAGGGTGTATTTCAAGAGAATATTTTAACTTCTATAGGGTGGTTCAAAAAAGTGTTAGTGGATTGGAATGATTTTTTTTAAATGGTAATAATAATGGTTTTAATTTTAATAAACACCCTGTATATTATTGTATGGAACACCCTATATATTATTGTATTTTTGGCTTTCTTTTCGATCACTTTACATAATCCTATAAGATATGAGTAAATATATTTCGACAGTTTTAGAGATATTAATAAATAAATAAATAAAAAATATATTTTTTTCCTGAAATCAAATCTATCTTAGGTACTTACTTTAGATGGTCTGTACCATAGAGTTAAAAGTCTGTACTTACTTTGCTATAAATGTGGTAATCGTAAATCATATAGGATGTTTAAAATTCTACGCCAAATTTTCTAAAATACATTTTTTTTGTTTTTTTTTAAATGCAGCACCTGTATATTATTTTTCCACTAAATGGAGAATTAAAAAATTAACATTTTTGTATTTAGAGTATTCCAAAATTTTTAACGGTTTCGCACATATTCGGGGTTTTATATTTCTTGTGGCATTTTCCACAGTAAATTTTTATCAAAGCCAGCCAATAATTTTTCTTTCGTATTTTACCGTTGAAAAAGCCATATGAAATAATACTGCGTGTATCTGCGAAACCATTAAAATTTTTGAAGTACTTTAAATACAAAAAATGTTCATTTTTCAACTCCAACTAACAAGAAAATAATATACAGGGTGTTCCACTAAAAAAAAAGAAAAATTATTTTATATTTTAGAAATTTTGGCGGAGTAATTTTGAACATCCTGTATGACAGAACTTGTATTTGTAATATTTTTTAAGTAAGTTTAAAAAATATATATTTTTTATTTATTTATTAATATCTTTGGAATTATCGAAATATATTTACTCATATCTTAGCATTATATAGAGTTATCTGAAAGGAAGCCAAAAATACAATAGGGTCTCCCATTAAAAAAAATAAAATCGTCCCGATCAACTCATACTTTTTTGAGCCACCTTATAGAAGTTAAAATATTATCCTGAAATACATCCTCGTACATACTTAAGGTTTGCAATTAAATAAAATTCGATTTTTAATTTTTTTTTTCTAGGAGCAACCAGATACCCGACGCACTTTTGTCGGACTCTGTATACTAGAACTTAAGATGCTGAAAAAAGAGCAGAAGCACCAGTTTATTTTAGTTAATATTCTGTAGCAGAAGCAAGAAAAATAGAAGAAAAAGAAGACTAAGAGGAAGAATGAGTGAAAAGATTGAAATTCCACTTCTCAAACTCCCAGTGGATGACATACCAAGAATGTACTACTTGAGAAACACCTTCCTGTAGTACTGAGAAACAAAAAAAAATGGAAGAGAGAAACGTTTGCTCAGCAGTTAAAAGACCATACCATAACGTGGTATACCGATGCCTCCAAAACCTTCCAAAGCAGGAACAGGGATTCGAAAGATGCGTACAACTTATCTTAGACAGGAACTATTGGAAACGAGAAATAGCCATCTTATCCGATAGTCAAGCAACCTTAAGAGGAATCAACTCAGTAACCATCAACTGGAAGTGAGTTAAAGAATGCCTAGAGAAGCTGAACAAGTTAAGCAAAGAAAATAAAGTCTTTCTACTCTGGATGCCAGCCCACCAAGGGATAGAAGGCAATGAAAAAGCAAAGATCTAGCTAGAGAGAGCGCGAACCTAATTGGATCAGAAGCGTATTGTTTCACAGGTGAAAACCAACTTAAGATTTTTCTCTTGATTCAAGTAAGAATAATCTTTGGATTTTTACGGTTTTTTTAACAGGACACTGTCTCAACATTTCAGTAGATTGAAGCTAAGAAACAACGGTGAATGCAGATTCTGTGGGGGAAATGGGGAAACACCAGAACAGCTCATCAATGAGTGCGCCGAGACGACAACCATTATGCAGGGTGTTTTAAAACAAATGCGAAAAACTTCAGGGGGTGATTCCTTGTTCAAAATAAAGGGTTTGCTTCATAAACGTTGGGTCAAAAGTCAACCATTAGGGAGATATCGCGTTACAATGGAAAGATGGCGGAAAAATAATGTTTTTATTTTTTATCTTGAAAACGAAAAGCGATAGACTAATGAAATTTTATGGAAACACAATTCAGCATAAATGTACGTGTGGGCCTGTGGTGGGCCTCCTGTGGTGGGACTGTGTTGTGGGGGAAGAGGTGGGCCTCATTTCTGGCCGCCTCGATCCCTAGATTTGAATCTTTTGGATTTTTGTATTTGGGGATATTTAAAAGAATTAGTTTACGCTACACCAGTACAGGATATCGAAGACCTACGAAATCGCATAATTGCATCATGTGATATAATAAGAAATAATCCTGGTATATTTCAGCGTATTAGGGGCTCAAATCATTACGTAGGATAAATGCATGTATTACATCATAAGGTAGACATTTTCAACACTTGTAAAAAATTTAATTGCTCCTGTAAAAAAGACGTTGTGTTTTTATTTGAGTTGCAATGTTGACATTATGTTTTTAACGATATTATTTTGTACTTTCATGAATTAAAATACAGAATCAAAAATTGTCTTGGTAAATAATTTTTAAGAGATTGTTCGTTCAGAAGAAAATGTAACGATATTATTACGAAATAAAACTATTTGACAGCAGCCCACTAGATTCTTTATCTAAAAATGTTTTTTGTCATGACATATAATGCTTTACATT